CGCGCATGATGAACTATAGGGAAAGTATAAAGGAGGGCAGCAGTTACTTTACCATCACCTGCATAATAAGTCGAATATCGATTAAGTGATGGAAATTCAATGCACTTTAGATACGCATCTAGTTGAATTGGACCACGTGCACTACAACCATCTTCTCTCTACGCTTCTTTCATCCTCAGCTTCCTCTTTCCCTTTCCCACTGAGGATGAAGTATCCAGTAGATGAAACAGCCCAGCTCATGTATCAGGAAATGTAGTTCCCACAATTTGTATACTATGTTCTCAATTTTCACGAATGAAACGACATAACCACATCCCTTTCCTTAAAATACCCCCTCCGCCGCACAAATTCCGAAATTCCAGCGACACTTGTCCCATTCTTCCTCAATTTCCACACCTCTTGCGCCTTCATACACTCTCTAAAATGCCCTATGAAACCCTCATGCGAATACACCCGATCACGTATACCAAGACCATCAGGCCTCAAACGCGATTCCTCCGTAAGAGTAACTTCCAGAGAAACCTGACACCCACTGCAGGATATTCCCTCCTCGACGCGCCCACTGGCCCGATCAAGATACGGTAAAGCAGTTGTGGCCATGAAAGGCAGATTGGCATACGATCTGGCAGCAGTCCAAATAGCCTCTTCATCACTACTAGGCTCGGACCCAACTATGCGGATAAGATCGACCATAGTCACTAGTTGTTTCCTTCCCTTTATGGATACCTCTTGCATTGAGTAGATTCCCGGGATGGTTCGAAGAACTGGGAGTAAACTAGCTAGGCCAGATGACTTTGTCTTAGACTTTGATGAAATGTACCACTTCGCGTCAGTGTAAGGTACGAGCCGGGGCAGGCGTCCCTTTGGGAGACATGAAAAGCAGCAGCGGAGGAGGGTCGGGAGGAAGAGGAAGCCTCCAAATGAGCTGCTGCAGAGTGTACAGTCGCGGGTACAGAGCGCGGTGAAAAGCTCGGCGAGGGTGAATCGGTTGGCTACTTTGGTTCTAAGAAGAACACACAGCGCGTCGAGGGCATGTGTTGTCGTCTCTCGGTAGAAGCGACTGGTGCTGACGTATTGTTGAGCATGGCGGCTGACTTGGCGGAATCGAAATAGAGATTCGATGTCGAGATAGAGGCAGACTTCGTGTATGAGTTCTAGATGCAGGAGTTGGAGCTGACCTAGGCCGGTGGATGTGGAGAGTGGCTTGAGGGGTTGGCTTATAGAGCTGCGGACGTGGTCGTGGTCGTGGGGGTTTATGCGAATGACTGCTAGGTCGAAGTCGCGTCGGTGATAGGAAGTGAGCTCAATGATCTCATTTTCTGGAATGTCTTCGAACTGAGAAGGGCGGGTTTGCTCTTTTTCGGGGTTCATGTTGATCTTTTACGTTTGGGAGATGTAGCAGATGCTGGATCTAGGAGGGGAGAGAGGAAGAAGGTGAGGAGAATATAAGAGCAGAGAAGATAGCCGCACTGCACGTGGTCCAGCTCAGTTATATGCCTAAAGAAAGTGCATTGAATTATCAATCAATCGACGTTTGACTTGTCCTGAAGATGATGTAGTAGTGAATGAGCTGGGCTGTATGCTTTGACTCAACCGGATATGGGTGCTTCTGCCGCAGGTGAGCACATACAATCCTATTCAACACATATCCATATTCTCATACGGGTCGCACCCGCTAATTCAGCTGCTAGCTATGCCTTGCTTCACCGTCTAAAGCAAGAATATGTCCCTGAATACCGCCAAATCTCCCAGACCTCACAGTAATCACATGAATGAACATGAGCTGTGGCGTAGGAAGGTCATTGCCTTACCTAAATACAGCAAAACACAACGAAAGCGCAGCTATGCAAACAAAATGTAGAAATATAAATGTGTGTCGCAGCTAGACATCCAGCTTCTTGCGAGTCCATCCTATCTCCGTCCCTCGTCCTATAATTGCTTCTGGGTGTTCCTTTTGATAACTATGCGTAACATTCCCCACTCACCCAAACGGGGCGTATTCTGGACCTCTACCCAGCGCGTCCAGTGTCTATCCTCATGGCCCTACTAAGATTTACAAAACTAATCCAAAAAACAAAAACATACAACAGGAGGGATTCGCTGGTGATCACCCACCCAACTACTGACCTCCCGGTGTGTGGCTTTAACGTGGCTAATATCCTGGTGGGTGCTGCTTGGGTGAGCCCAAGGTATGAGCTGCTTTACTGTCGCCCGACCAGGGTGAGCTTAGGGTAAGTATAATAAGAGTAAGGATGAGCATGCTCACCCAACTCATGTCGACGAATATAATTAATAATTCTTAATATTCACAGTAGAGTGACTAACAGCCAGGTCAGGTCAGGTTAATAGTCAGGTTAAGAGTAGAGTGATTATATCTGACTGTTATATCTCAACTGTACCCTAACTGTAACCTAGCAGTCAGAATCAATAATTCGAATAACAATATATGTCTTTCTGATTAGCAGCTAAATCTAAGTATGATTATATATGTACTTTTAGTATCATCAATAGGAATTTACTAAAATTCTATTATACTGCCTAGACTCTCCAGTTAGAGAATATAGAAAATTCTAATGACTAATCTATTATTTATCATCTAGTTCTCATCTAGCTAATCAGCCACGGCAACAACAGACACAGAACCCCTTAAATAGGCACGAAGTTGAGAAGCCGGTGATGTGGAATTAGTTATCCATGCAGTGCCTATGGAACGCCGAGAAAACATCCCCTCAAACGCCTTCCGAACGGCCTCCTCATGACCAGAAACTTTCGGAAATTTTCAGAGGTATAGTAACAACTATACCGAACTCATCTACTCCCATACACTTCACATAATCGATCTCTTCTAGGATCCTCGCGAATAAGTTTATATAGTGCCTCGGGTGTTGCATGGGAAAACTTTTGGATGGGGTTAGGAATATGCTCACGATGTCTCGGATAAAGCAAACCCCTTGCGCAGCAGACGAACAGCCGTTTCAGCTGCCTGCATCTTGATTACCTCATCATTCATTTGGCCTTCTACTGAGGCAATTTCCGAGGAGTCAGCCAGAGCAGAACACCGCAGTGTCCCGGGATGCACCTTGTCAACACAGATCTGATAAGAAACTTTGCGCCCTGGAAGGATGGCCTGTAGTGTGTCTTTTGGATGGTCTGTAGTGATTTGATGGGAGATGAAATGCTCCAAAAGCGGCACGATTCCGAGTTTCTCTGCCAGGGCATCGCAGGATGCTAGGGTTGCTTGAGAATCGATAAAGACAGCACCAAAAATGCTCTGAATGATATCAGACAACACTCGCATGTCCCCAAGTGCTCTCAGCCGCACCCACGGGTAAAATCGCTGCTCCCATAGTTCATGCTTGATAGCATCCGCCTTCTCAGATGACTTCTGAACAAAGTCAGATAATTCGGTGGATAACGCATCGCTATGCAAGCGAAGAAAATCCCAGAGTCTAATTGAGCATGTCGTCACGTTTTTATGAACATTGTGTTCATCATCAACATCTATATGATTTTGCTCCCTTACTTGGTGGAATGTTATCGCTATAAAGGTCAGAAATGTGTTGTTGGTGAACGCGGACTTCAAGGACTGCATCCTTTGTGGATTCATCACTTGTGCATGTCGATGTAGATAGCTCACAACGATCCATTCTAGCACGCTGGCTCCGAGAAATGAGAGACGCCGATATGATGTTGTTTGAACAAGACCAGTGCAAGATGGATGTGTCATGCTTTCCACAGCCAGGGATTTGTCGGTGAAAGTGTATCCAAGGAGTTCTTCCATATCGACTATTGCTGTTGAAGCAACTGCATTTTCCGGTCTAGTCTTGGAATAAGTACCATCATGCAGAGACGATGCATTCCAGGACTTGAGTTTGGGAAACATAACTGATGCGCATGCAGCAGCTTGGTTCAATCCACCATCTGTGAAGGCAGCCCCAACAACTGCTTTCGTCATATCTGCCAGCGTAGCCGCACCGATGGATCGCTGCCTGGCTTCGTTACTGGCGGGTTCTATCCCCGACACAAGTGGTGGCACCCACCGTTTCCCATTGAGATGTTTGCTTATGAGAAATTTTCCAAGGCCAGATTGATGTATAGCATGTGCAAGACCCGCATCAGACAGATTCCTCTGCTTCAACGAGGACAGGAGACCTTCGTGCCACAAATGATGGTGCAAAAACAATTGCATTGCGAAGAGATACTTCATGAATGCATCACCAATGAAGGCTAATAAGCGAAAGGTGGCTCGATGCTCAATACTTGTAGGCCTGATAGCAATAGCCAATAGATCAATTCGTTGCCAAGGCGTCACTGATCGTAGAGATAATTCCTGTCGCAAGATTTGCGCTATCATATATACCTCCACCTCGTGGGATATGCTTGGTGTAAAGAGGGCGACCTGGGCAAACATGGAAGGTAGCTTATCAACAAAGAAATCTCGCACAGACATGCTTTTCACATTAGCTTCAAGACCTATCCTGGCCTCACAGTTTGTTGATTTCCCAGCAGCTAGATTTCCATGAGAGAGAAAGTTCCGGCGATTAGTCATGTATTTGACTTTGGCATCGAATGACGAAATGGACAACTCATCAGGTAAGAAGCACTCTCCTGCTACCCAGGGTTCTACCAAAAGTGGTCGACTCGGTCTCGTATGACTGCGAAGCAGTCCAAGCGCACTCGGCGTAGCTTCCTGATTCAGAAGCTCAGTCAGGCTGACTGATCCAGAATACCTCTCGAGGAACTCTATCAACTTCGTTTCTTCCAATTCTGGGACAAGAAGAAACGCATAGTCTAAATTTCTGCGAGAACAATGGTCTCGGTAAACCGACTGGAAGATCAGGTTTGTCACTTGCTGGCAAAGTGAAATGTCTGTAGTGATTGGATGCCCCGGCGTGAGAATGGCAGTATAGGTCGTGCAATAATCAATGAAAAGAGGAATGTGAATTGTTGTGTCAAGCTGAGTTGGAAGAATCATATGTAGATGGATTTCGTCCTCTTCTGGTCTTATGATTCGTAGGTTGTGAGCATACAGCTGACTGTCAAGTTTCCATAAAAGAGCAATATCCTGCCAAGGATCCAGCTGGTTCTGAATGCTGTAGTGGGACCGGAATATGATATCCCCTTCCAAATGGTCTGAGACCTGAGTCGGAACTAAGTAATCGTTGACAAGGCCAGCCTGGTAAAGCGCTTTATATGCTTGTAATGCTGCGTCCTCCCTTGCATACTTGAGTCTGGACCAACTTCTTGAGCTAGAAAATGACTGAAGGGAAGGGTCGAGGTTGCTTGGCAACTTAACTACCGCCCTGAATCGGCCGTAGTTATTGCGCTCGTAAGTGAACAGGGGCTTGTTGCTGACATACAGCTGGGCAGGTAGCTTTGAACAAAAGTTATACAAATAGCCGACTGCTTCCCGCATTATCAGCTGAGCTCTAACAAAGTTAGCATTCCTAACAATGGAGAAACAATGCAGCCGCACTTACCCGGTCCTGTCAATGTCAAGGGAGAGCGAAATCCTCTCGTACTTATCGAAGTCCAGCTCATTAGCTGGTATTTGCCTTCGCTCAGCATTTTGCAATTTTTGGACTAGCTCTATTTCCTCCATCTCGAGTCGTTTCAAGTACCTTGGGCCGCTCTCATCTTCCATAATGATAATAAATTGGGAATTCTCCCTTCGTGCACGTCCCCGTCGCTGAATGAAGGATTTCAAGGATAGCTGGCAGTTGAAGTTCAGCACTGTATTGCATGCTGGTACATCAATGCCTTCTTCCAGAGCATCGGTTGTTATGATTAGGTTTAGAGAGCCTTGCCGGAACTTTTCTAGTGTTTCTGTCTGATTTCGGATGTCATGGAGATTTCCGAGCTCTGTTTTGCTGTACTGTGTCGTTGACATACCAATGAATGTTCCACAAGTAAATAGGTGGCTCGTAAGTGGATGGTTCTCTATCAGCCATTTCAATGCAAGTACAGTCGCTCGCTGCGTGACGAACACCAGACCGCAGAACCCTTCTCTGTATGCCTTTGAAAGCTCATCCAATAGACACTGACACATTGGTGAGATTTCTTCTGGTTGGATTGCCGGGCTACAGTCCTGCAACTTGCCCAATCTAGTAAGTATTTCCATTGCGAAGTCTTTTCCATAATTGGAGATATTTGTCTTCTCAGCGCCCATTCGCATGCTTTCTTTGAAATGCATGATCGATTTTCGCATGTACTCTGTCGCGGCCCAAATACCAAGCTCCTGATTAATGCTTTCCGAAGTTTGCATGAAGCGTCTAATATGTTTTAGTTGCTTGCTCTTCATTTTCGATGAACTTGGTACTTCATCTTCAGAGGACAAAATACCACATAACTTTTCTAGTATCGGTGCCTTGACAGAGCAGTTCGGAATCGTATAAGTAGGTAGGCGCGGCAAAATAAGTGGACGGTTTGTGAATTGGAGGAGTTGCGCGTAGTATTGGCGAGGGGTCTTGCATATACTGCCCAGGTTGCTTTCCACGATCCTTGGTAATTATAACTTAGCATTCGGATATGATAAGCATGATAGTGGCAGCCAATAACATACTCCAAAGATGACAAGTCGGATAAGATAGGAGAAGCAGTAAGACCAAGTATCTTCGGTAGATTCTGTACACCACTTTGGTGCTGTTTATGGTAGTGGACCTGCATTATCTTGTTCGCAACGTGATCCTTTTTACAATGGTGGGCTAAATACGATGTCAGTCATTGCTTGAAATCTCTCACTCAGTCTTACCTTCATCAAATATGAGTAAAGACATCTGGCTCAGTTTAACAAAACCATGGGATAGTGCGTCATATAGAACCTGATATGTTGAAACCGCAATCTTTATTCCCGACAAGGCATTATCCCATATTGCCTTGTCTTTCCAGTGTTCAACCTGATCTCTACTGGTGAACCCTCTGCACCAGATGGAAGGAACACGGTTGCGTATTGTATGTATTGCTGCTCAGATAAAGCAACGGTGGGACAAAGTAGCCATACGAACTAATACTTGTTAGCAACAGTCCCTCCACGGCAGGTGACAGTACATACCTTATCCGAGTTCCCTTTGTCTATATCCGCGAGAATTCGTAATATGGCTCTGTTGCTCCTATTAGCCATATGGTCAAAGACATAGTAAGATTCATCATACACTTGTGTTTTCCCAGTACCTGTTGGCATCTTTCTATATGTTAATATGTAATGCTTCTCTCTGGGGCCAGTTATCATACCACAACGATAAGATTACGTTTCAAACTCTCGTTCAACATCTCCAATTGATACTCTCTGATTCTAAGTTCCATGTTACTTGTCGTCCCCGGTGTACTGTCTGCGTGGTAATCGGTAGATGAGGTCATTCTGGGGTGTGAGAGAAGATAACTGTGCGTTACTTGTGAGTCGGCTAATAGAGATACCATGAGAGTATGTACTAACTCGCACCTATCCTTAAGGATAACTAATAGGTATCAATTATATCGATAGCTGCCGACGCTTATATATGAGGCTGATTGGCTCCTCAGAAAAGGTCACGCATCACTGCCCAACATACTATCATTATGAGGACGTGGACCAATTATGCCCAAACACAATGCTAACTGTGCTTTGATCGCGTAGTCCGGCAGAAGGCCGTATGGTACCTAATCTATCCCTCCGTAGGGGCCCAGAGAAGATACACGAATACGCCCACCTACAACGCTAATATTGCTAGTCTGTTTTCCAGTGCTGCACATCCATAGCTTCGGTTATGTAGACTACGGGACTCATTCCGCAAACATCAAGTCTGTGCGAGCCTAGTGATCAAATAGAGGTCTAAAGGCAACTGTCCTGAATGCTGGCGTCCAAGAATGGGACGTCGAAGGGGAACTCAAACAGACTTCCTGGAAATGTTTGTATATCATTCCGGGGCAAATGGGCTTACAATAAGGAGGCAGGTGGGGGGCTTCGACCTTGGCAATAAATCGACTTATGGCTGCGCGTGATCACTCTCTACAATGTAGACGTATTCAACTCTATGGTAATCAATTAATATTTGATTCGTTGGGTCCAGTATCATAATGCAGAGGAAAGCTCCTCCGTGTTCACTTCTGTTCGTTATGGCAAATAAGTATTTTTGGCTTCTGGGACAAGCAGGGCATTTTGATCCAAAATTGTCCTGCGCGGCCAGTAATCCGTAGAATAATAGCTGCTACCCGGGCAAAAATCCTCCCGAGCAGAAAATCTAGTCTGGGCAGTTCCCTTTTCCGACATTTTGTCTCACTTATCTCTCTATTCCTAGAAGAGTCTATTTAAGTTGCTGATGACATGTAATCGATACAGTAATAGACAAACGCTTTTCAAAAGTTAGGCTGCGAAGGCAGCGACATCATTCAAGCGAGCTCTGCCATCCTGAAAAATATTAAATGGTGCCTGAGTTACGTATTAAAGAGAGAATTTGTTTGTACTCAACAGGTGGGGTACAAGTGGGGCTCTAGGAATATATAGCCAATGGAAATGCTTCATTGCAGAGCAACTGATAACCCCGGCCATCCATTCTATTCCCCTGACCACGATACTCCGCTGCCAACGCATCTCATCCCTCACAGCATTTACTCCCTACTTAGAGGCTGCACAGATTATTATGGTATAGCGTATGTGTTCGAGTACCTTACTATTTCTAAGGATCAACATGCCTTACTTCTTGTCTGACCCAGTGATTGCTATGTGTTTTATGTTATAATGGCACCGTACAAGGTTCCGAGAGTTAGGTCTGATCAGAACTACTTTGTCTATAATCTGCAAATATCTTTCGATGCTCACAGGTAGAGGATATATTGAATGTGAGAAACTATCCTAGGTAATTCTCATAGCCCCATAGATCCGACGACCTCACTATCAACATGGCTGGAGCCCAAGCCTGTGGCAAACACCTTTAGCTGCGATGTGTTTCGCAAGCTTCTTAGTTTTACCCTCACCCGAAGCTTGTATACCCTTGTAAGAAATGGTGATCCGAAACTTGGGCGGATAACTGCTGAGGCAACTTTCTTTGACATTGGGCGTCACTCCGTGATTCGACCCATCCTCCCATAAACGAGACGTATACTTCCAGATTTCAGGCTCATCATTCGCGTTAGAGGAGCACTGAGTAGGCGTGGGGCTGACATAACGCCCTGCCGCTTCCTCCAACACTGACTCTTTATAGGCTGTTGTCGATATTCCAGTGTCAGCTGAGCAAGTTGGGATTTGCACGTGGAGTTTTGTCAGCAGAGGAACAAAGTCTTCCCTGCTATCGGACAATCTGACGAAACCGAGAATTTTGTATATGTAATCTTCACAACTCTCATCGTCAAATTTGTTCGTGCGGGGTAAATCTAGATTCAAGCTCTTTATGGCTACTAGCGCTGCTTCGAAATCATAAGCTTTCGAATCAATAAATCGGTCCGCCTCGACCTAGAACGTCCTCAGCTATCCATAATTTGGACTTATGATGCGAAGAGCAGAGTCTGCAAACATACCAATGAATCATCTGTTCTGCCATTAGGCGAGGTGTGAACTATCATTAAAGCCATATAAACATTGAACAGCCGCTTTCCAATTTCATAATCTGAAATACAAATCAGTAGCTATCACTTCACAGACTTTGGGCTATATCTACCAGTGTTGGTGTAGCAGTCCGGTTGCACAAGCCTGGGAGACATTGTGCCAATAATGAAGCAGAAATATGAATCTGATATGACGGATGTTACTTTGGGATAGGCAGGTTATGTTTTATTTTGAAATAGCTTTTGCTCTCATAGTTACACGATAGCTCTCTGGGTATTTATATACGTATACACTGTTCAAATCCTACTCTATACTTTGCCAAACACCCACGCGGCAATTTCTTGTTGATGAATGCATGTGATGTGCACTACCCTAGCAACATCGTAGGTTAGGTATACTCTTCATTCTCTTCGACTGTCATGGACACGTCACAGCTTTGGCCATGGCCCGAAGAGCCTGGGGTATTGCAAGGGAGCTTAACAGTCATGATTGGGCTGGATACATTGCTTTAAAACTTCTAGCCTTCAGTGGGGAAAATCTATCTCAAAATTACCCGGCATATGAGACGAAATACGAAGCATCGAGGCGTACAGCAGTGGTTAAGCAGAGGTAGCTCGATTAGTTGGCACAATGTCCGTGCCGTGATACGGAGTAGTCGTCCACAGCATGCATATCCTCGATAGAGCTGGCTAGTGATTAGCCAACCTGCGGCAAGACTATCTTGGCCGCAGTTTTAGCCAATAGAAAGGGATATCAAGATTATATATGGCTTCCGCTCGCTTCGCAACGCTCAGGCCTCCTGGTATTCCAGATGGGTAGAATTGGGCAGAAAGGTAGTGAGCCTTTCTCCCTTCGACAGATCTGTTAGGAAACGAGCGAACCTGCCGGTTAGGCTTAGCCGCCATGCTCCGGATTCTTCTCCCGGCTGGGTGCTGATGCCAACGCCATGCCGAGTGCTCACGGTCCATGCGGTAGCCAAGGTGTCGATTCATGCGGTATGAAATGTCGTGTTTCTAGTAGTTTGCGGTCGCAGTGCTCAGCCACGTCAAATCGTGCGCTCCATTGATGACCTGGATCCATCGTACATCAGTGCTGACTTTCTTTTGGTTTATTTTGTGGCGGCTGAGTTCACCGAGCTCAGCCTTCTGAGCGTAGTAGTGGGTGGTGGTGGATGCCAGCAATCTCATCTGCCTCGAGCATCCTCTAGCAGAATTCCACCTGGAGTGATGCGATTGCCAGCCGGTCTGACTGTATGTGGTAAGTACGAACGAATGATGTTTTTAGTTGAACCGGTGAGTGGCCAGTGGGTAACCAGCGTTTACTCGCAGCTGAGCAGTTAGACTCATGCGGGTATTATCGAGCCGCCATCCTTCTTGACTAACGCTTTGCCTCATACGCCAGCCTCGCGCTCTCCTGTCCGTCAGCACAGCATTTTATGCATTGATATAGACTAATGCAAGACAGTAGCACGGACCTTCTCGGTGCTGGAGCGACTGACGGTGGGCGAAATGAGCTATTAAGCTCTTTCGTCCGACGGGCTGTGTTCATAACCCAGTTGATAAGCTGAGAGTGATGCGAGTCAGTCTCAGAATACATAAGAACTTGATTACACTTCTAATACGTGCACCCCCGGCATTGTAATTTTGATTCTCATTGGTAGTCTCGGCACGCAGTCTTATGTCACAATACAGAATCCTATCACTTATCCTGAACCGTGCACTGGCAATCTATTCGACATGACTCATGCTAGGCTTGGTACAGGATTTCTCCATGCTGATCGTCCCGCGATAATGAAAGGGTTAGATACATTGAGGTGACTCATGTATTCTTGCTGTATGTTACCCCAGTAAGGTTCAACCTCAGATCAGGTCGAAAAGCAAGGGTCCGCATAGTGTTACTAGTAAGAGAAGGATTGACGTGGACAGGATTTTCTTTTCTACCCTGTGAAGTGGCTGTTTCTATAGCTTCCTCCACTACGCAAATAAACAAGTACTCCAGAGTATTCCAAACGGTTTCCTCCGCTAAGAATAGCGAGACACCAGTCCTAGCAGCGAAACGAACCGTTTACGGCTGACAGGGCAGTAATGCGGGCCGACAACATGTTGACAAGGAAATAGTGAAAGATTGTAGTGAAACATCGTAGTCGCTCAACCCCGCTTTTAGTTTCAATGTACAGGTGGAAACTCCTAAAGGAATGCTTTCGAAAGCCTATGATTGTCATGGAGCTTTCCTTGGCAATGCGGCATCAAGTAAGGTGCAAGGCTGCCCAAGAAACAACATCACAGCAGACACCCAGACCAAGCTAAACATACTAAACACTGGACTATGCAAGTAGAAGTTGGTAATTATGAGCTGTCTAGAGGCAATACCACTCGTATGTGCCAGGTGGTCACTGTGCTCGTTGTCCTGCCTCCATAGAAACAATCCAATGCAAGGCTGAACTTATTCGGCAGAGCCTCAAACACTTTCCCATCAGACATAGTTATAACTATCTTCTTTCCACCCCTTCCCGGCGTACATCTCTACACCTTTTTTTGAGCAGCACAGAGCTTTTTTTTTTTTTTTTTTTTTTTTTTTTTTTTTTCTCTCTCTCTCTCTCAGAAAGAAAAGGAAGGCCGCTCATTAATTCAGTTGGGAAGATGAGCCACGATCCTCCAGGCGACCCTTTAATGTCGCATTCGTCACGCCGGCTCCGGCGTCTATACGAACCTCTATCCCTACTTCAGACGCTGGGAAATGTTCGAGGTTTGCGTATCAGAGCCTGTGACATACCGCAGGATAATTCTGGTTTCAACGCCATAAAAAGTCATAGGTCATTTGTGGATGCACTTGCCTACGCCTGCGCATACAAGAAGGAGCCTGCCTATGTGACCGCGGTCGCGTTGGAAAAGAGACCAGAAGAAATAGTGGTTTGGCTAGCAGCGAACAAGAATGTGGAGGAAACCGTTGTCAGCTTTGCTCAAGATGTCTTGAGAATTGTACAATGGCTGGCAAGAAACCCATCGGCTCAACTGAGCACCGAAGATGGCCAAAGATCCCTTAATCTTTTGACGAGCAGAGTCTTGCACTTTAATGCCCCCAAAATCTATGCTTATTATGAGCAAATTGTGAGGAAAGCTGCGCCTCCAGTAATAGCAAAGCTTTCTAATGGGCAGCATGAAGGTATGTTAGGCTTGTGGTGTATGTCGAGTATACGCGTCTGACATGATGGTAACGCCTAGGTAACCCTGATGTTGCCAATCTCAAAAATTGGCTGTCCCAGCACCTGCAAAGGGACGGTGTACAACTCCAAGAAGTGGATATGGCGAAATTGGCCGTCATAAGTCACAACTCACGAGATACCTTCGAGGTCCTCCGAGACCTAGCCATGGAATCACATGAGTCTCACACTTTTGAGCGGCTCTTTAAGCTGCTCAGTAAACTTGGGAAGCATGTGATCATGAGCAAACGAATAATCGAAGGCGCAATATTCTTACGTTCAGACTTTGCAAGAGGGATGAGACTCGAGACAGTTCCTGCGTCTCGAGAGCGTCCCCTTCCCTTTTCGCCCCGCAAGTACAATATCGAAGGCATTAGCAACCGGATGTTCTCTAGTGATTCAGCAGAGAAGCAGAGGTTTCTTGCCCGTCTGCGGACAATTTGGGATACAAAAGAATGGGACAAGAACTTGGCTAAGGAGCACCTCCCGGGTAAAAGCATTGTGCATGCTGAAATATTGATACTCGATCATTTTGAGAAGACCGGTGGAGATTTTCTGAATAATTCGGACAAGTATATCGGATGCAGCAAGCCTGCCTGTTATCTTTGCTATCACTATATCTGCAATCACCCAGGCCGTTATATTCGCCCTTCATCTCACCAGAAACTTTATATGAGGTGGCGCCTTCCCGACATCAGCGAAACAGAACCGAACGCCGCCCCCCGTTTCAGAAACCAAGAGCAGATTCTCAATAATCTGATCGATCTAGTACGACGGGAATTGAAGAATGACATTGAAACTGGAGTGGGCAAGATGAAGGAATGCCCTGACTCAACAGCAGGAGGAACTTCGAACATGTTTGAACTTGAGACAGGACTAGAGGCCGACATGGGTTCTTTATCTTTCCAAGAGCTCCGACACCAAATTGACCCCGACTTCCAATACGTCGTTATTCCCGACCCAGTCAGCAGTTCTAGTAGTGCCTCTAGCATTCACTCGCGTTCTAGCGCGGATACTGCTGTGTCTGAAGGGGATGAAGTTGAATACGATAGTGACGGGGGAGTAGTTGTCTAAAGATAATCACCTCAATTACGTCTGGGCACTTGGATTCGCTTACGTTGGGATTTTATATAGCGCGTATGTGGTTCGGTAGCGGGTGGAGTCCCACTTGCGCTAGATATCGTTCATGGAAAATTCGGAGTGGAGTGAATAGGGTAAATATGGGAAACAAGGTAAGTGAAGGTGCATGGGTAGATAACAACGGCGAAGAAAGAATAAATACGAGAGAAGGGATCCGCCGGTGGTCACCCAATCCCAACTACTAATCTGTTGGTGTGACTTGAAGCGCGGCTAATTTCTAGATAGATGCTGATTCTGTGAGCTGATGATGAGTACTGCTTCACCATAATGTAACTAGAGTGGGCTAGGATAATTATATGATTTTCTATAAGTATACTTTGACTGCACTAAGACTAAAATTAATATAGTAGATATGTCTCGGCACTCAGAAAAATAAGATCATAGTAGACTACTATTCTCCTAGCCTTAGAGCTATATTGCGATATGAAGGTTTCCTTGACCTGAGTATTAACCAGACAGAAGGTATAAAAATTGCTACTAACCTGACCTGACCTGGCTGTTAGCCACCCTACTGCTTACCCATGCGCCAACTACTTAGTTGTCTACTACTTATTCATCTCACTTATCCGTAGGTTTGGATTCTATCACCTGAAACCCCTGTACTTCATCTACAATTCGAAATTGTTCAATTATGAAATAACAATCCGGGAAAGACTTATCTAACAGTCTATAACTGGACAAAGCATATGCAGGAAGATGACCCGGGTCGACAAACTCGGCACAGAAGGTTGACAGATGATACGTATTCGTGGTCTGGTTCAGGTTCTTCAGGGTCAGGATCGAGTTGGAGCTGATTGAACTGTCTGAGCAGGCCTGTTTGAAGTATAATCACAGACTTAGCGGATCGCCTGCGGATCTGATATGGTTGAATCATACATGGCCTACTCCTTGATTCACCTGAGCTATCCCAAAGGCATATCTGTTGAGGATGGTCCTACTGAAATTTACAAACTTGACGGACAAAAAACATACAACAGAAGGGATTCGCTGGTGGTCACCCACCCAACTACTAACCTCCCGGCGTGTGGCTTAAGTACGGCTGAGCGGACGGGAAGCCCTGTTTTCCACACCCTGTGGTCGTATGTGCTTATTATATCCTACTGCTAGTATATAATTACACCACAAATCACTCAAAAGCAAGCCGCGCCCTTTGCAAAAGGGCCGCTGCGCCACGAAATAAGGCCGCTTAGGCGCTATTTAGTACTTGCAATCCAGCATCTTTGGGGACAATTGCCCTCTTCAATCAAGTCGATGAAAGGCCTTTCCCTGCAGTTTAGTCACAATGTCCTAATTAGACCAGAGATCAGCGACACCCACGTTTTAGATAACAATAACTCATTTGTCACTCTAAGTTGATCCGATACCCATGAGCCCGAATATTATGAATATTTAAATACAGGAATTCGCGGTAATTGATTTTCTCATTGGCAAATGAAAGCGGTGAGAAGAGCGGAAATAGCCACAAGGGCCATACTAAGCGGATCGGACATGCAGTCAAGGAAGGGAACGAGTCGCTTCTTTTCTTTCGGATGCTAGGCGGGGTAAGCATGGACTCAACAGTATCATATAGTGGATTCAATTACGGGGCACAGATCGGGATTAACAACGGTTCAGTCACAAACAGATTTTACAACTCCCAAGGTATTTGACAAAAATATCTACTCATCGCAAAAGATGCTGACTATCACGTAGATCTTGATAATGTCCTCCCTTCCGTCCAAGAGGCCACGTTTGACTCTTACGAAAACCAGCATAAAGATGAATGTCTTCCAGGTACGCGGACTGATACGCTTAATGAAATCAGAGAATGGGCATGGTCAAGACATGGAAAAGTCATATTTTGGCTCAACGGATTAGCTGGCACAGGAAAATCAACTATTTCCCGAACAGTAGCAAAATCGTTTTCTGAAGCGCAGTCACTAGGAGCCAGCTTCTTCTTTGAGAGAGGCGAGGGCGACCGGGGAAACGCAAAGAAAGTCTTCCCAACAATTGCCAGACAACTGGCAATAACCAACCCTCAGCTAGTCCAATCCTGCATCAAGCAGTCTATGATAACCCGGGCATTATGGCGAAGGCAATGCGGGAACAATTCGAGAAACTCCTAATTCAGCCACTCCAACATCTCAAGCCATCTAACGTCACAGTCAAGACTGTTATTATAGTGCTTGACGCATTAGACGAATGCGAGGGAGATAATGACATCCGGTTAATAAACCAGCTTCTCCCACAGTTTCGAAGCATAGCTGGTTTGCGTCTACGAGTGCTTTTGACGAGCAGGCCGGATTCACCGATTCGTCTCGGATTCTCAAAGATATCGATGGATGATTATCAAGACACCATTCTCCACGATATCCCAATGGAAGTGATCAAGCATGATATCTCCTTATTCTTCGATTACCGGCTCGCAAAGATTAGGGAGGAACGGCCATTACCCGCAAATTGGCCTAGCGATAGAGATACTCAAAGGCTCATAGCATTGTCTATTCCGTTGTTTATCTTTGCTGCTACTGTCTGTCGTATCTTTGAAGACTTGACATGGGAACCTATAGAGAGCCTTTCCGAAATCTTGACGCATCAGACTAATCTCTCTCAGCTCGATATTACGTATCTCCCGATTCTCGATCGTCTTCTTAACCGGCAACATGAGAAGCAAAGAGAGAAGCTGGTCTTAGAATTTCATAAAGTGATCGGTGCTATTATGATACTAGAGAGCCCACTCTCTATAAGCTCGCTATCGGAGCTTCTTTGCGTCTCAAAAGGACTTATACATTCTCGGCTAAGTTCTCTTCACTCAGTGATAAGGGTGCCAGGCAATGAATCAATACCCATACGACTTTTTCATCTGTCATTCAGAGACTTCCTTCTTGACCCAGAAACCCGGAAAAAGAACCCACTCGGCGTAAATAAGACAGAGACGCATGAGATGTTGATCAGACATTGCTTTTCTGTATTTCAAAGCTTGAAAAGAAATATCTGTTCGTTACCAAGCGAAGGAACCGAACGTGTTGAAGTTGATCGCCACACTATCGATACCTATATCCCTCTGGAATTGCAGTATGCTTGTCGATACTGGACACATCACCTAGTACAATGTGCAGAGCCTGCTCGAATGGAACACGATACTCTTTCATTTCTACGGAAACACTTTCTGCACTGGGTGGAGGCCATGGGCCTCCTAGGCTTTACATCGGAAATACTAGGTATGCTTACTCGCCTCCAAGGAGCCACATGGGTAAGTTGTCACAGATGTCATGTTTTATGAATACTAATTGCTTAGAGCAACGGCCCTTCTCCGATTTTGGATTTCCTTCACGATGCAAGGCGATTTATTTTAAAGAATCGCCAGATAATTGATCAAGCTCCGCTTCAAATATATTGCGCAGGGATAATATTTGTACCTCGAAAGACAATAATTCACACAGAGTTTGCGAATGAGGTTCCTACTTGGATATGCCAGTTTCCAATTGTTAAGGACAATTGGGATGCAGAGTTACAAACCCTCGAAGGCCATTCAGATTCAGTTCAGTCGGTAGCCTTCTCTCCTGATGGCCATCTTCTAGCGTCTGGATCTGAAGATCAAACAGTCTTGTTATGGGACCCGGAATCAGGCATACTACAGCAGACTCTTGAAGGTCATTCAGCTTCAGTTCAGTCAGTAGCCTTCTCGCCTGATGGCCATCTTCTAGCGTCTGGATCTGAAGATCAAACAGTCCGATTATGGGACACAGCAACAGGCATGTTACAGCAGACTCTTGAAGGTCACTCAGCTTCAGTTCAGTCAGTAGCCTTCTCACCTGATGGCCACCTCCTAGCATCTGGGTCTAGAGATCGAACAGCTCGATTATGGGACCCAGTAACTGGCATACTACAGCGGATCCTTAAAGGCCATTCAGAGTCAGTTCAGTCAGTAGCTTTCTCACCTGATAGCCATATCCTGGCATCTGGATCTGAAGATCAATCAGTGCAATTATGGAATCCGGTGACAGGCATACTACAGAAAAGTCTCGCAGAAGATTCAAGTTCAATTCTTTCAGTAACTTTTTCATCCGATGGCTATCTTCTAGCGTCTGGGTCTGATGATTGGTATGTGTACGTCTGGGACTTAGCGACAGGCACACTGCAGCAAACTGTTGATGGCCATATGTCCTCAGGCTTCAGAGGTTCTGGAGCCTCTGATGCAGTAGCATTTACACCTGACGGCAAGACACTGGCGTCCTGCTCTGCTGATGAAACAATACGTCTTTGGGACCTCACGGCGAGTGAGGTCACCCAAAACCATAACAGTGATAGCTTTGAGCCTCCCCCTCAGATCATGACCTTCTCACCCGATGGCCTTTTCCTAGCATCCGGCTCTTATGAGAGTCCGGTTGTGCGTATTTGGAATGTAACGGAAGGTACAATCGCCTGGACTCTCGATGAGCATTCTGCTGCGATAAACTCATTGGCCTTCTCACCAGATAATCGGATACTGGTGACCTGCTCTGCAGATAACAGCGCATGCCTCTGGGACTTGACGACACGCACCCTTCTGCACACTATCGATAGCCACTCGGAATCCGTGAACTCTGTGGCGTTCTCTCCTAATGGTCAACTATTAGCATCCTGCTCTGATGACGATACAGTGTGTATCTGGGACTTTGCGACATACACACTACAACAGACTCTCACAGCCTGTCCTCATTTAGGTGACTCAATTGGCGGCTATAAATCGGTAACTTTCTCACCTGATGGTAAGTTACTAGCGTCTGGTACATATAGTGGCCTACTGTGCGTCTGGGACTTGGCGACAGGCGCAATATATCGGACTATAAATGCTCATCTGGATACTATTGAGTATTTGGCCTTCGATCCTGATAGCCAATTACTGGCCTCCTGCTCTAGTGATGACACAATGCGCCTCTGGGCCTTGGAGGAGTATGCGCTCGTGCAAATTTGGGACATCGAATGGGATGGCGATTCTTGCGGATTTTCCCATTATTTCGAATTTTTCCATGACGATTTATCTATTCATGGCAATTCAGCTGCATTTGTCGTTGAACGTGGATCCGACCGCCAAATGTTATTATTACGTTCTGGGAATCTGGACATCTCTTTTGAGACCGAACGATGGGTAAAATTGCGCGGCAAACGAAAGCTCTGGCTTCCTGTTGAGTATAAGCCTAACTGCTTTAGGATAAACGGTGATACACTTGCCATTGGACTCACATCAGGGGAGGTATCTTTCATACGGTTTTGTATATAAATCGAACAGTTTCGGGCAATTAGGCAATCAGCAAATTGCTTGGTACTTATATAACTTGTTTCCCATTATTCTCCTATACTATAATACCTGCTGAGACCACTGTAGACCTATTCAGGGCTAACTTTGGTTCACAGTTCAGGCCCGGCCATTATCCATTGTGGGGTTCTATTTCATTTGCAAATCAGCTCAAGCCCCCTAGCAGTGCTACAACTTATTCGACACTATATATCCAGATATGATTCTGCTAGTAGGAGTTATGTCCTTGGAAATTGAAATGAGATTGGGCTACACAGGCGACACTCCTGCAATTATCACTGACCATATACTGTGGTTCGTAGTGTGGTGAGGCTTCCTGAAAAGATTAAAGACGTTAATCCTTGCACAAGTGGGACTGTCTAGGTTTGATATTCTTCCTCGTCTTACCTTTCTCACTCACTGTCATCCATTTTTTAAAATTCTCACCCAAATCATCCACACACACACACACACACACACACACACACACACACACACACACACACACATACACACACACACACATACACACACACACACATACACACACACACACATACACACACGCTAACACACGCTAACACAAAAACACCCACGCCTTCTGAAAGACAAAGGCACTTTTACAATTTACCGCGTTCATAATGTGGCTCAAGTACAACTGAGCGGACGGGAAGCCCTGTTCTCCACACCCTGTGGTCGTATGTGCTTATTTTATCTAACCGTTAGTATATAAGTAACTAATCTCTTGCATTTGCTGCTAAAATAAATCAAGTATGATGTTTAGGTGTATAGGAAAGGGTCGGTTGCACAGGTGTAGAGTGGCGACTTTTCTATTTATTTGTTTTGCCCAGGGGCTAAACCCAAATATACAAAAGAATATTTCTCACTCAACTGCATTGAACCCTGTTGTTCAAGTAAAGAATGCTGGATATGAACATCTGCGGATCTGATATGATTGACTCATAGTGATGAGCAGTTACATGATGCCTACTTTGTAATTAACATGAGCTAAACAAGCCCTCTAAAGCATAATTGAACTGAATTCTGTACTAAATAGTAGGCCAGTAAGGAGTAACCAGATAGATTCACAATATTACTGCTGTATTTTGAACCCCCCAGGAACCATATTCTGGAAGACACCCGTTGGATCTACCTCACGGCTGATGCGTCGCAACCGCTCAATACTCTCAGGGCCGTAACTAGCAATCGGATCCTGCCATTGCGCCGCATAATTTAGATAAACAAACGGATGATATGCATCCAACGCATGTGCATCCGATTCAATGCCTGAAAACAGCACTTTGGCGGCTTCCTCAACCCGGGCATCATCAGCTGCGTCATCCCAGGTGGCACTCAGTAAGGTCACCACCAGTGATCGCTCGAGGCGTTCGGATGATGATAACCCCATAACATTATGGTCGGGAGGTGCCCGCGCATAGATTGCAGGGGGTAGTGGTTCAAGGGAGATCGACCATACGATGCCTGGAATGTCTTGTACGGCTTCCAGATTGGAGTTCCACCGGAGGTAGGTTGCATTCAACATAGGAAGGGTCACGTCGTGCGTTGCAACTACACTTAGCTGTCTGTTTGATTGTCGTCAGCACTAAAATATTGGGTGAAGGAAGTTACTCTTACCGTTTCCCGCTCTGTGAAAACGACCCTTGCTCAATGGCCACCTCATGCATGGGTGCCACGCGCATGGTGCTGAACAACTGTGGAATGTCGAAAAGCGCTTTGTACACGGCTGGGGGCGGTGTTATTCCATCGTCCCCTGGTTCCTCCAGCCCCCCCCCGTATACACGACACTGTTCACGATGGCGGCCCCCTGGCCTCCGGCGAACCCGAAACTGGTGATCAACGAAGCATACTCATCATAGCTGCTCGCCTTTGGGTCAGCCAGCTCGGCGAAGGCACGTAACTGGGCGTCAATAGTCTCAGTGCTGTGGTAGATGGACCCTCCATATATAGGACCCTGTGGGAAAGTCTGCAGATTGAAGCCTGTGACAACCCCAAAGTTGGCGCCGCCCCCGCGTAGCGCTGCCAGCCAATCTGAGTGTTGGCCCTCATCCAAATATACGATTGTCCCGTTGGCTAAGACCACCTCTGCACCGACCAAGTTGTCACACGTCCACCCGTAGCGCGGTGAGAAGTAGGAGATGCCGCCTCCGAGCGTCAGTCCGCCAACCCCGACCTGTGCAGCGCGACCTCCTGCTACCGAGAGACCCAACGGATCGAGCAGGGCATAGACCTCTCCCCAGGTAGCACCTGCTCCAACAAAGACTGTGTGTTGCGCCTCTTTGTTCTGCGCACTCTCATCCTCATCATTCTCGGTTGGGGCTTCCTGCACCTGGATGGTGTTGAGAGCGCGCAGATCGATGGTGACGCCATTGTGGATATTGGATGCGCCTCCGAAGGAATTGTGTCCGCCGGATCGGATGGCAAACTGGCAGCCGGCTTTCTCGTAATCAGGCACTCCTGACGAGATTGCTAATATACTGGTGATGATGTTGGACACTTCATCTGCTGAGTCCGGGAACACCACGCACGAGGGCTGAAGCGCGCTGTTCTGTTGTGCAAAGTACGACCCCTGAGACGCTTCATAAGCAGGTGTGTCGGGGAACGAAACTTTGTCCTGCCCTAGGATTGTGGCCAGGGCGAGGCACTGCACATATAATAGTTAGTTTACTATTTTGCTTTTTAGAAGACTGGGAATCGCACGTACACAGGCTCCCGGGAAATCGCAAGCCGTAGTAGCATTGCTGCCAACGAGCGGAATCTGCTCCATAATAGGGCTCTAATACGGGAGGAAAGCTCTGTGTATCAAACGGCGGTCGAAAAGCAAAGATTGGGAGGGGACAGACTATGGAAGGTGGCGCCGCAGGACTTTAATAGGCGGGTTGAGTGTCGTGCGCGGTGGTAATAAGCCTAGAAACTTAGCGGCACTCACCCCTGCCAGTTGTAGACAAGGATTATATCTCTCAATGGTGACTGGAGATTTCCGGCCTTTCAGCCTTGCCTCGTTATTATCCTCATTTTTCCCGGATCATGTTCTATTCAAATCGCGTAATAAATGCTGTGGTATTTATTACCACCAGGCTTTCCTAAGTTTTTCCCTTCCTAGATCTGACGGAGCTGAGTTGTACTGAAAAAGTCGGGAGGCAATCAACTTGGCAGTCGATTGGTCCTTCTGGCACGCGGCTTAAGTCGACAATGCATGAGACGACATATATTTTGATTCCATAGCAAGCGAGTCATTGTCAAGCCGATTATCATTAGGAACTGGGGAATGAGTTGTTATTGCAGTGGGTCTGCCCCGCTGGTAGCGCCCCCTTTTGATTGGTTGTGAAAAGCTTGTCTTTGGTGCCTGATCTTCCGCCTTGTGTAGCCTGGCTGCCTGGATGCTGCTTTTGCTCTCCCAGTCAGCTGCGATGTGCCTTAGAATCATGCAATGCTTCAAGAATTGATAAGCATAGCATGCTAGAAAGGTATGAATAATTACTCAATAGCATGAATCCCCTGCTTCACCTCTAAATCTCGAAGCTGATGTACATCTGCGGTATTTCCAGCATGATAATGGCTAGTTGTACTGTATGTTCGACCATGTGCCACAGAGCTCAGAGTCATACTATGTACACACCATGCTTTAGGCGGGATATGTGTAATCCTTTCCCAGCAACCTCAGACACTACCTTTTTGCATATTGTTGTCACATTGCAGTAATACCAACTGCCATAAGGCGGTAGTAAACTGCCCGTCCTAAGCAAGGCGGACAAGACACAGCCGCACCGCCCAACGCGGCAAGAGGGGGCGTCAGCCAACTGAGCGACTGCCATAATGGCCCCATGGAAGGATTGAATCTGCTGCTTCATATTGTATTCTGAAACGAGCGAAACATAAAGCCCCCAAGCATCAACACTCTTGACAGCGGCTATATGCCAAGCAGATGCATACCAAGAGTCTCCCATGTGAACTCCTGGCCCCAAACGGCAAACCTATCCACGAATTAATCTCCCTCGCCGCAAGCGGCCCCCACCAGGCCATCTATCCCAGGGAAATGAAACCCTCGTATTTATTAGCCCCCACCAGGAATCTCCCGAACCAGACATTGGCCTTCTTCAGTAACTTGTGCCCTGCGCAGTGGACACTCTTGCCCGCTGATCACTGGTTACAGTGGTTCTTAGCTACCGCGGTGATGGAGACATCATTTGTCTGGGCCAATCACGTCAGATCCATGTCAGACTGTCTTAGACTTTGGCTAGATCTACAGGGTCTGGGCTTTGCCTTGTGATGTGTGAAGAAGACAGTGTTGCTTAGGGGTGAAAGGACTTGTCACTGTGCTGAGAGTAATCCCGTCAATATTCACAGAACTTGCCATCAATACTTCGTAACAAATGCATCGATAGATTACTGCAAGGAAGTTTTCAGTAGTACTTAACTGTGTAGGTTCGGTCACCATCAGGCAACCCAACCCAATCCACATTTAGCTAAAAATAGACTCTCCACCCGATCCGGTCAGCACTCTCAAGACAAGACTCCGCACCAGACTAGCCTGACCTGAATGAATGTGTTCACGGCCCCCATTTCTCATAACTGACTGGCTGCTTGGATTGACGGATCTGCAGCTTATCATACTCACTGAATTGATGTTGGTTGGATGTCCGGTCGATGCTACAACAAGGTACAGCCGCAACGTGATTGCTGCTGTGTTACATGCGGATGTCACCGGCTGCCTGTGCTACTTACTTATCATTCGCTTTTTCCTAAGAAAAGGACTGGAGAATACTCTGATTCTTTCATTACAAACATTCCAATTCCGTATATATCTAGCAAATATCTTCACAACTAGTGAATACCAAGACTTCCATCCGGATAGTCATCAGCAGAAAAAGTAAAACCACACTATCCCCACTAGTCCAAACCTGCTTTCCAGCCCCCAAGCACAATCAGCCTGCACATCCAAACCGCCCATCATTCTTTAACTTGAAAGAGAAAAAGAGTACAACTGGCTTCTAGGGCAAACGCGGTGAACTCAGCAATCAACCTTGGACCCTAAATCAGAGCGGGAAGCCAATCGGCTGCCATCGCCCCATTTCTGGCGGAGAGAGTCTAGAGGGTCCATCTGTGGCGTCTGTAGGTCCATCTGACTGGCCTGCTACTTGTCCTTTCTTAGATTGCAGCTGGACGCCTTTTAAGACGGGCGTGGACCCTGCAGATTTCAGGTGTAACTCACCTAGTCACTCATTTATTCATTCGTTCTACCCTACTACACCAAACATTTGATATCGTTTTTCACGCCAATTTCCTACTCACTGTTTCCACTATCTATATTCATTCATTCAACGACTACCTACTCAGCTATCCCGCGATGTATCATTAGATATTTACCACAATCACGACCACACCACAACCACAATCAAACTACAACATAATGTCCACCATGTTAACCCGACCCACCGCCATCCTCATCTTCTCCCTCGTCTTCCTCAACCTCTACCTCTTCCACCGACTCATCCGCCAACCCGTCGTGCCACTCTCACCCACCATCGTCCCAACCCCAAGCCCAGCGGCAGCAGAGATACAAGAAACACACCTACCAGCCCAAATAACAACCACCACCGAAGACCCAACAACCCTATTCCCAACCACCACTCTCGCAACAATCACCACCCACACCACCACCACAACAACAACAACCACCCACCCACACAACACCCACATCCACCCCCAACCAACAACCCACTCCATCCCGCACAAACTCTGGCAAAAAACCGGCTCCAAAGGCCTCTCCCCCCAAGCCGAATCCTGGATCTCCACCTGGACAGCCCTAAACCCTCACCTCCGCCACGAAGTCCTCACCGATTCATCCGGCCTCGCCTACGTGGAAACGAACTTCCGCCCCATCTGGCCCGAAATCGCCGACCTATACACATCCCTCAGCGTGCCCATCCTCCGCGCCGACCTCCTTCGACTCCTCATCCTCTACATCGACGGCGGCATCTGGTCCGACCTCGATGTATCCTGCGAAGTGCCCATCTCGCAATGGCCTATTCCCCCGGCAGCCAACGTGGTCGTGGGGATAGAGTTCGACGGATGGCAGTTCGCCTCGTGGACGGTGCTTTCCACACCGGGCAATAACCATATCTATCATGCGATTGAGTATGTGGCGGGACGATTGGAAGCATTGGCGCAGGAGAATAATGTCACCGTTGGGGAGGTGACTATGGAGATGATTCCGGATGTGGTGGATGTGACGGGGCCGCAGGCTATTACTATGGCGTTTTTGGAGACGATTAGTGAGAGTGTTGGGAGACGGGTGGGTAAGGATGAGGTCGAGGGGTTGGGAGAGGGGGGAGTGTTGCTTGGGGATGTGTTGGTTTTGCCGCAGGCGAGCTTTGCGGCGTTGCAGGGGGGGATGCCCACGGGGCAGGGGGAGTATTTGGTGAGTCATCATTATGCGGGGAGTTGGAAGAATGAGGTGGGTGGGGAGGAGGGGGTAAAAGAGGAGGAAGAGGAGGACGGGGATGAGGAGGTTGTGATTGTTGTGGAGGGAGAGGATGGGGATGGAGATGGGAATGGGGGAGAGGGTGAGGGGAGTGAGTGATAGGGTTGTTACTAGGAGCTGGGGATGATGTATATATTGTATGTATGTTTCACTTTTTGTATATAGTTAGGGTATGCTATGCTATGCTGTGCATTCTAACTTTCACGGTGTGTTGGACTGGTAGATGACTTCACGTTGTATGCTCCTTATAATGCATAACTAGGGCAACTGCTCGTCGTCACACGTGGCACTCCTTACTGTCAACTGCTTCTGCAGTGTCAGCTGTTTGTCAAACAATCATGCAGTATATTCATAGCAATATAGCAGAACCTAATGTAAACATCATAAGCTGTACAATAGGTATAACAGCCAACTCGACAGCTCACTCGGCCGCCATTGCTAACGTCGCACCGGAATTATTGTCGATGATGCGTCAGTCTCCGTGATGACCTTGTCTCTAATGAGAGGGAATTCATCCTGATACAAGAGCAAGGATGAAGATATGGTAGTCCCTATCGTGACATAATTTGTAACTAGGGTTATGATATCGCCTGCGGATACGCAACCGGCGCAGGCGTGTGTCCAGTTGTTGTAGAGAGTGCGGCCATTACACTCGAATCAGGGCTATACCAAGCAGGTGATTACTTGCACACTCACCTTGGATAGTACCCCATTACGACTTCCCATCTAGAGTCTCCCCGCCCAGCCATCAGCCAACGTCCACCATATGCCAGCTGCTTGAACAGTATTACCCCGGGCTATCTACACATCACCATCTAACAGCAAATGCTCTCTTAATCAGCCCCAATAGAATGGTATACATACAATAATACGAATCCCAAAACCGATGCTAGGTATAACACATCGACGGAATCCTCCCGTAGGATAACAATCCATCTCCCCTGACCACCAATGTCCGAAGTAAACCGCTCCCGCCGCCGCGTCCGCCCCATCACCCGCGGTATACATAGTCGCAGACTGGCGACATGTCCGAGGTAGTGGAGATCTCCCCGTAGAAGGACCTCTGTTGTATGCACCCGAGTACCCGGGTATAGATGTCAACGATTTCGGTGGCTGACATTGCGTGTGTCCCTGTGACTGAGGATAGAGGAAAACATTTCTGGTGGAGGATTCAGGGCAATTGTTGCGAACGGAATCTTATATAAAGGGGGATTGTCGTTCTAGTGTGATCCTTTGGTCTTGGCTGATGATTGGTGTGCTTGTGTATAGATTATATTTCAAGTGTGCTGAGGGAACATTTCAACATATGTTAAGCCAATAGCCCTTTATGACTGGGACTGAACAGTTATGGTAAGATATCTTTCGGTGATGATCGTGCTTGCTGTAGTTCCGGGACGAGCTGTATGTAGTAATTTCAGTGTCAACACCGTTGATGTGCTGGCCGAGAACAATGGGGGAAGGCAAGTCTGTGACTGTCCGTCAACATCAGGATCGCGGACAGTGTGCGAGGCTGGAATGGGAATTAGGAAAAGGAATTGGGGGTTCTTTCTATGCAATATTTATGAAACGTCATAGATGGCAGAAAGGTTGCCTGAAAAGCGATCTCTGCCTGAGGTGTTCACGTCCCAATGGGGCAAGTCAATGGGATATGAGGACACTTGCATCAAGGCATGATCATTCAGACACTGCAAATAAAATGGTGGGTTTACACATATAGGTATCACTATTTAAAGCCTTGAACCGGCATATAACAGCACTAAATCAACAGTGGTTCTAAATGATATCATCACCATTGTAAGTCTGCCGAATTAGCTATGACACATACTATAAACATGTCCAGGTGCTTGTCACCCCGTAACAATGCTGCAGTGGTTCGAGCATGACGGGTCGAATCAATAACGTCTGCAGGTGCTCGGAGACTTGCACCCAATATCCGGATGATATAGAACCTAAAGCTCTCAGGTCAGATCATATGTTCCGATGAAGATGCCAAGTATATTCCGTAGGCAGCCGAGGCAATGGGCGTACTAACGAGACCGATCACAGGCAACGGAAATTCGGTCTGCAAAGCCGAAGCTAAACCTTCTTGCATGACTGATTGCAGTACGAATACGGCTACAGAAGTGACCCGTTGTAGCGACGCTTAGCATCGGAACTCTTAGCATCGACTCAACCACTCTTTCATGGAATGCTGATATCAGGCAACATCACCGATCACAATGCTCCATTCAGGTCTATAGGTATAATGAAAGGAGGAACGTCATTAGTTACAAGGGTAATTCCCGGTCCGGCCCCGTCCCCACAATGTCTGGTACATTCCACGTCGGGGCCGCGACTATTCACCGGGTATGCAAAACGCCACAGAGATATCAAATGGGGTGAAAAACAACACAATCAAAAAATTAGAGAAGAAAAACGGTACATCTCGACCATCGTTGGTATGTCACAAGGATAGATGAATTAGAAATCGTCATATGCCACTCCCATCTGTACAACTCCGGAGCCAACACCAGTCAAGGAAATAGAAGTGCAAAGAAAGAGCCTGATCTGCGCTGGATCCAGGGAAACCAATGACAAAACCGGTCCCATAAACAAGAATCCGGGACGGTGAGAGAAACGACTGAGAATGATGGATATGCTGTCATACCAAGACGCCGTCAGATGTCGGCTTCGGCCTGCCACGCGGTTTCTCACGGTCAAGGCCGGGGCCAGCAAGCAATAACGAATGAACAATTCACCCTGGCATGGTTGGATTGTGCCTGATTAATATGGGTCTTTCCCCAAAGCAAGCTTTTGATCGGGGCTGCGTGTTGTCCGAGTCAAACCTCGGTGGCCCAGTCGTGTGCGATTCTCATGTCAACGCCCTGAAGGAAAGGCGGCCAGATAGGCGACATGCTAACTCGTGTAAAAAAGCGCGAGCCTTCTCAACGGGCAAAGAATAAAAAATCTCTATCGAACTGTCCAACAGTGGTCAAGTCATAGCGATGCGTTCCTCCTCCGGGTATCGAATGTCAGCCCTTCAGCTGATAATCTGCCGGGCGCCTTCTTTACCCAGCACGCCGGGCTCCTGGGGCTTCGGGCTCCTATCGCGCCCCTTCTTCCTGCTGAGGAAAGCGAGCATGCCGCTATTGGAGCCCTTCCCCTTGACTGACCCGGTATCGTAGCCTTCGGCAGGCAGTGTAGAGCTATGATCCGCAAGCTCGCTCCAGCTACCTGCTTCTTCCAACACCATCTGTACCCCTCCACCCTTACTTTGTTTCCGGGTCGCGCCCCGCGGCCGCACGGCAGTAGGTGGCAAAGGACGGTGGAAAGGCGGGGCCGGCGGCGGGGGTGGAGGAGGTAGCGACGCTTGCGAGGTGGGGGTTTCGCTGAGAGGGGACGGGGTATCAGGCTGAGTCAAGTGACTGACAGAGCCATCGTTTCGGAGGGGAGGCGAATTTCTGGAGAGGTCTGGCTGTGAGACTTGTCGGGAATGCGACGACTGCGTTTGGTGGATCGGCAGGCATTCTTCCGGATTTCTAGCCAGGGTCAGCAAAGGCCGCAAGACAAGGTAGGCATGGAGAACTTACGTTGATGCGGCAATCGCATCCGCAGCGTTGCTGATGTTGGTTAGCACGGCATCCCCATCTCCGTTTGATTGGAGATCAACGTACCCAACGTAGTTCACCTTGGTATAATCGAAGGGCTCAAACATCGTCTCAATCAGACGGTGCAGTTCGTCCTCGCGGATCTCCTTGGCCGTCGCATCCTCCCGCAACTCGGCTCTCGGTTTTTGCCGGCGAGCTCTGGCCTCGAGCGGCGCCTCCTCCAAGAGTAGTTCCTCCAAGTCATATGTGGCGTCAAAGTTGGTCTTGTCGCTGGATGGACGGAACACGGGCGGGATTTCCTTCGACTCCAGAGCGACAAAGTCGATGTCGGCAAAGAACATATGCGATGTGAAGCTCTCAAAGCTGATCGCGCCAATTCGCTTCGACCGATCTCTTTCCATAAACGCCGACATTGCTCGGAGGCAGGGAACGGAGACCGCGGGGTTGGTGACGTAGTACTTCGGTTGCGCCTTTTTGATGTTTTCGCTGAGGACGTCCTGGCTCCGACCTTCGAATGGGCGCTACAAGAGTCAGCAAAAGTCTTGACTGGACTAACAGATCGAAGCGACATACCTTGTTGTAGATACATTCGTAAAATGTAACTCCAAGTGACCACCAATCAACTTCGCAGTAGTATCCGCCGCCTTCGTATACTTCCGGAGCAAGGTACGCCAGTGTTCCGGATTTACTAGTGAGAGGTTTTCCGGGTCGAAAGTCGGAGGCGACGTTCTGTCACACGGAGGTCAGCTTCACGAACCGGATCGCATGCGACCGGCGGACTTACAAAATCGGCCAAATGAACATGCCCCTCCGAGTCAAGCAGGATATTGTCTGGCTTGACGTCACGATGGATGATTCCCTGCGAGTGAATGTACCTCAGAGCGCAACCCAGCTCAGCAATCCAGAATCTCACAGCCTCCTCCGTGAAACATTTCCGCGAGATATGGAACCGGAGGTCACCGCCATTCATCAAATCCACCACAATGTAACTTCTCAATTATCAGTGACTGCGGACGGACGATAGGGGTGTCGTGTTGGGAAAGCTATTGCAGGACGCACATATATTCAATGTCTTGGAAGCTGTATCTCAAGTTGCAAAGAAAGGCATGGTTGAGGTGCTCGAGCATCCGCCGTTCTCGGATGATATTTCGTACACTTTCCGACCGGACGACTACCAGGGAAACGAGCAACTCATGTCAGCGTGTATTGAGGTATTCCTTCGGCAGCAACATACCTTCTTCTTTCCGAATGTATTTCAGCGCGAACGTCAATCCGGTGTCTTTCTTCTCCACGATACGAACCTTGCCGAAAGCACCTTTTCCAACCACCCGCAACAGACGAAACTGATTCAAGTTCACTGCGCCCTAGTCAGCCCATCCGCAGCCAATTGTTCTCAGACACACTCGATACGTACACTCATCGGTGGAGGCCACCTGTTTCCCTTGCGAGTTTCCCATTTAGACAGTTGTGTAACCACAGACGCTGGAAATCTTTGTTTCGGTCACCAACAGCAACATCCCACTGAAACCACGATAATCTCTCGACGTTGGAAGAAGAATGCGAGGAGTGGAGTCGACAGGAATACCGCAGAGGCTTTTCGAGAGAGGAGTGGGAGGGATCGGGGGGGGTGATGAGTAGGGGATGGGGGCGAATTAATTGAGGGAGGTCGTAGAAGAGAAGAATAGGAACTTTATAGGCGATGAAGATGAGGTATGGACACGCAGACCTAGACAGGATGAGACAGGTGTTAGTTAGGAGGAAATAATTGCGGAAGAGTGCAGAGGTCTATTGGGACGGGGGAACGTGGGCGGAGGGGCTCATTTTCCCGATTCGCAAAGGAGATAGATAGCAAGCAGGCTTTGGAGGAGTGAAACCTACCCCAATGAAGAGCGAAGATGGCAGGAAGTTAAAAAGGTAGAGAAAGTTTTGGGATAGAAGACGAGTAGGAAAAGTCCCGACGAGGACAACCAAACGGAGGCCTGGTCGGGGGGGGAGCGAGAGAGAGAGAGAGCGCGAGAGCGTGAGAGGGAGAAGGGGGGCGGAAAAGAGCAAGTCGAATATGGGATGGAATTCCGAGTAGCAAACAGCAGCGGCAGCAAGAGCAGCAGCAGCAGCCAGCCAAAAGTAAGAGAGGAACGGGGGCAGCCCCTAAGACGGAGAAGATGATGAGTTAAGTTAGTTACTTTTCTGACCAGCAAGGCGGGCCGAAAGTAGTCGGTCGCCTGTACACTAAAAACTACCACGCAGAAGTTCCCTTACTGGCCCAGTTGGCGGTGCTGACGAAACGGACCAGATTGGGGCCCAGGGACTTTGCAAACTGATAGAGATGAGGTGTAAGGATTTCCTTTTTTTTTTTTTTCTCTTGTTCTCTTCCTTTCTTATTTCATGTAGCTTTTCTTCTTACCTTTGCTTTCTTTTTTTTGTTTGTCTTGTTTTGCTTCTTCACAATATTAAGTTTCGTTCTGGAATCCAGCCAGAAGGAATACGACGATGCAGAGATCTCCAATGCAAACAGATACAGGGAGGGAAAAGGGGGGGAGAAAAATGGGTTGAAGAGATGAGAAGAGGAAGACCAAGCGATAGATGGAGTCTAGGATGTTCCCAATACGAGGCAAGATGGCCCAGGTGACTGGATTAAACTATGGGGTTCACAGGAGGGGTTCTTGGGTCGGCACTGGGTAAGCGAAGACGAAAGTCTGGAGAAATCCAAGATGAAGCGATGGATGGAAAACCTTCGTGGCTAAAACCGGCTGCACGGTAAGACGCGGCGTATATTTACGAGCTCTGACCAGTTGAAATCGCTACAAAATAGATTTATCAAGTACTAATAGACGATATGTGGAAGAAAATATGAAACCAAAAAAAAAAAGAGAGAAAATGGTGGCGGTGAGAAATGGACTGTGTACGGGATTTACCAAAGAAAAAAAAGTAAAATAGAATAAAATACACAAGAAAAAAGAAAAGAAAGAAAAAAAATTATTAAATGTTAAATATGGAGGAGAGAAAATCTGTCCCAGTGAAGATATTCCTGCACTTAGTTAATGGTTATGGAGTTGTCCTGATGGAGACGACGAAAAAGGGGATGGTTTAAACCCAGGAGAAGTGCCGCTTGGGCCCACGAGGGACAGGCGCGCCGGCAAGTGGGAGAGATAGCAAAAGGCGAATTGCGACTGGGAGACGGGTTGGATGGAGCAAGTCAAGAAGAAAAGACTGGGCCTGCGGTGGAGAGCAGCAGCATCACTAAGTAACTGGTCGTCGGTGACATCGCCAGAAGGGATGAGCTGCCGCCGAAGAGGTCTGGAAAACCTGCACCTGCAGGCAGGCAGGCAGATGGAGCGCAGTAAGGCAAGAGAAGGAAAATCATCAAAGAAATTCTCCCCTGATGCCGCAGCAATAGTTTTGCCAGCCTTGTTGGTCGTACTTTTTTTTTTTTTTTTCTATTCCTATTTTATTTTACCACATACCATCCATACATACATACATATCCTAACTAAACCTGCACCAGGCAAGGAACATCCATCGAAGCACCTTGTTTTCTTCCCCACTGCTTGCCGACCGAGAGTTTGCTTTTCCCTTAAATCCCCTGTGCGCCTCTTTGCTTCTTCCTTTGCGGTTCTTTGTCTCTTCTCCGCCTCTTCCAAAGTTTCTTCCCGTCAATACCATCTTTTGTCTTTCTGTCGTGTATTTGGTATTTCTTCCTCTCCCACCGCCATCCTCTCCGCCTCGTGCATCACCCCCATCCAGTCTGAATGGCCCCTACATTCCAACCGAGTGGCCCCCAGAACTACTTACTTACCTCCTCTGACTACTTCTGGCCTGGTTCATGTCAGACCTCCTTGGAAACCCTTTGGCTGAGGTTGGGCGTGGCTATAACTCGTGGCCGCCACGTTTTTGATTGACCTACCGCGCGACTCCGTTACCAATCATACCAATGGGAATGCGCTGCCCAGCCTTGGTGCTGATGAAGTGGCGGTTGGGGCCAGAATCACCACCACACACTTCCTGCGCCATACAAATTGCCCATACGGGTTTCGCCGGGAGGGGTTCTATCTGGTCTGGACAGGCCTCAAGCCTCTGTGTCTTATCCTCTCAACACTCAGAATCAAATGTCCCCTATTATCACACGAACTACGAACAGCCCGCAGATCATCTGAGCTGGTTTTGACTCTCGCGCTAGTTGCATATTCATTCCGGTTCATCCTGGTCTGGCGTTTCAGGTCTCCGTGGCCTGGGCGCCTGCATCGACATGATCCCGGTCAGCGTAAAAGCAACCAGGGTGCTGCACTCTATCCTGCTTGTGCCACGCAGCGCGCGCTGGCCAATCCTTCCCCCCATGTCTGCACTAAGGTTCTGCAGCAACTCTAACAACAGCCGCCGTCACCTCGTATCCATCCAGACGGCAACTTGATGCATCAAAAAGCTTTGCTTCCTCCCTCTCCAGGAGCAGAAGTCCAATATAATGGCCTTCAATTTGCTAATGCTTATTGATTAATCCCACCGCACGATCATCCACTTAGCGGGGCGGGTCCGACCCCCAAATTCTTTTTAGCCCAGAGATTTGGTGGATCCGGCCGCCCATCCCATCCAGCTTCGTCTCGCCAACGGTGCTGATCTTCTGGATCTAGACAATTTTGAGCTTAGACTTAGCTGCGTAGGCTCCCGACACCAAACTTAGCTTCCCCCTACTCCGTCTCGGCATGGTGCATCCTCGCCCGTAGTCCGCGTTAGCGATGCCATGGTCAAGTTCGGTCTGTTCAAAGCTGCCACAGCTGCCGGATGTCTTCCCCGGTGCTATAGTTAGATTCGCTCTGGCCTAGCCGACAGGCTATTTTCACGTGAGCCGTCGTCGATACGGGGTGCATGGATGCAAAAATAGGAGCAAAAAGATATGACAAGAGTGGGACTCGAACCCACGCCTCTTTCGAGACTGCAATACATCCAGTTGAACTGGACAAGATATTTCACTTGAGTGCAGCGCCTTAGACCACTCGGCCATCTTGCCTTGATGACTAACTCAGGGCTTTTATAGTATATATCACAGGTAACCTATCCAAGGCAAATGGACCTGTCATATCTCGGAAGTCAGGATAATGTTGTTATCTCGACCTGTCAGTTCAGTGAGATCCCTCAGTGTGATAGAATTTTCTCCGCGATCAGCCTTACTGGGAAACGGCATCGTCTCTTCAGGGAGAAGCACGAGGCGATTATTGTATCCGGGGCTGGAATGTCTGCCCGGGAACATGATGAACAGTTCGCCCACTCGACATTGCATCTACAACTGCACCAAACAGAACACCACATTATACTCTGCCTACAGATAATTCTTCCGGAAAAGAAAAATAACTAATGTTTTCTTCTTACTATATGCTTCATTCGTATGTACACGCACTGTGGCGTGGGAGACATAATATGTTCTTCTATGGTAACCCACATATATTTAAGGTACCGGGTGTATATTAGTTGTTCAAAATGTACATAGCCATCTAACAACACGTCAGAGGCTCGAGCGAGCCATGATAGAAATATTCAACGAGGCGAACTAATAGGACTAATTCTATATCTCGTAATGCACTAAATTTCCCACAGAAATATTTTACAACCTACCGTGACATAGGTACAAACATACATGTGCATCTACCCAACTGGACCATACCTACCCCTCCCTCAATACAGTACAAATAATGCAAAGCATAACACATCAACAGGCAAGATGGCCGAGTGGTCTAAGGCGCTGCACTCAAGTGAAATATCTTGTTCAGTTCAACTGGATGTATTGCAGTCTCGAAAGAGGCGTGGGTTCGAGTCCCACTCTTGTCATATCTTTTTTGATTTCCATCACCCCATCCCAATCCCTCTCCCCCCGACCATCCCCGCAACCGGCCCCACCACATGCCTCTCTTGATCCCAAGTTTCGGAAAAACAAGGTACTGAAAAGGCAAGATGGCCGAGTGGTTTAAGGCGTCGCACTTAAGTCGTTGGACAACTGGTTTAGTTTACTAGCTGGCTAGTGCTGTTTGGCGGAAATGCGATCTCGTAAGAGGCGCGGGTTCGAACCCCGTTCTTGCCATTTTCCTTTTTCTTTTTGTCTCTTGGATTTTTTCTCTTTAAGGATCCGGTCATTTGCTATTCTGGGTAGAGGATACTACATATATAGTTATTGCTGCTCACTTTTTGTTTCCTTTTATTATATCAAGCTAGATTCACCACCGTCAGGACCAACAATGAGATGTCAACAAGATAGGTACGTTATTAAACTCAGAAAACTATTGCCCGTACAACTGAGCTAGTAGATAGAAAGAAAGGAATGGATGGGTTCGAAACAGTAGATAGATAAGACTCATAAGGCTATCTATTTATCTCTCATCGTCACCGCTTGTTTTCTGCTCCTCTCCCCCGGCTGGAGGTGGACCGTTCGGCTTTAGTTGGGGGTCGTGGGGGTGTCATGCAGGGATCGATCGGGGTTTAATGGATAGGGGTTATAGTGTCAAGTATTAATGATCTATCATATGCTATCTTGCTATAAGGTGGCCTTCGCATCTTAATACTACTACTAAGTATTTATAGTTAGGTCTGTGAGGCGTGCTTGGTAGTAAATTTATAATATGGATTGTATTGGTGGGGCAGGGTGTCAATAGTATATATAAGTTCGCTCCGCGGGTTGGTGAATGGCTTCGAGGACTGAGGATAGGAGGTTATATATTATTTACCTATTTAAATATGAATTAGCATATACTACCAATGGTTCTTACAAGCGAACTGACATATAACAATAAAACTTTGTTTAATAACTTTTGTCAAGTTCAAAGTAGATGATCATAGCCATTACCAACTTCCTACAACTGTATATAATTTTACAAACCTATTAGCCATCTTGATAATACCCTCCTCACATACCGCCTCGAGCCCCTATTCTGAAGTTGAATTACTTGAACCCGTACAATCAAGTAGTAGTAATGACCGTACATTGCATTACCCACAAAATAATTACCTATTTACAATCGAAGACTCAAACAACCAACTCCCCACTCATAACCTTGACCGCACTCCCTCTCAGTTCCACCGTCTCGATCTTCTTCTCACCACCAGCACCACCCTTCGTACTAACAGCAACACTAATATCCGACCTCCTCCCCATCTCCACCCCCTGCACAATATCATACTCGACCTTTCCCTCACCAGCAGCAGTCAGCGTCAAATAACTAGCCAATCCACTCGCCGCACTCCCCGTCGCCGGATCCTCAATGTTTCTCAGTAGCATCCTTGACCGGATGACCTTCTTTCCGGTCTGCTCATCATGCACACCCGGAACATAGAAGTACACCACAATGAGACCGCTCCCTTCCCACCCCTCATCAAGATACCCGCCCTGAGAGACAGATTTGCAAGGGATGTCTTCGCCGCTCACGGGAGCCTCCGCCGCAGCTAACGCCTCTAAACTGGGCAATTCAACCAGCACCTGGCTCATGCCTTTGACGATGGAGAAGACGGGGAAGCCAGCACTCTTCCCGTTGGAAAGGAACGGGGTCAGAGAGGGATGCAATCTCAGCAGCTCCGACAACGGGAACCGTGAAGAGTGGATGTGCACGTTGTGTGCGATTTTAGCGGCTACTACACCACCAGCTGATGGAGGCGACACACTGGAGATGGCGAAAGGACCGGCTTTAGTGAGCAGAGTCGTTACATCTTTTCTGTCGGACTCATTGGGCGAGTGTTGCAAGAACCACGAGACTGCACCGATAGTGGGGTGGCCCGCAAAGGGGAGTTCTTCATCTGTGGTGAAGATGTCGATTTTGCGGACAGAAGGGGTGGCGGGGTCAGTGGGGTGGATGAAGATGGTTTCGGAGAGGTTGAATTCGCGGGCGATGATCTGTTTTTGGGATTGTGTGATGGTGTTGTCGGAGGGGAGGAAGACCACGCCCAGCGGGTTACCGGAGTAGGGGGTGGTTGTGAAGACGTCGAGGGTGAGGAAGCGGAGGGATTGAGGCATTTTGATTGTTGTTTACAACTTATTAAGAAGTGGTTTTGATTGTATTGTGAAAGCTGGAAAAGAGATGGGATGCTGGATGGTCCGAAGTATAGATATAGCTGGTAGAGGGAAGTGTATGAGTCATGACGCGAAGGGATTGGATGCGATGGTGGGGAATCTCCACGCCCTTCGAATAGCACGCGGATATCCCAGGAACCACCCTCTCCAGCTCGGTTAGAAGTGATGGGCTCCACTATGCGCTGAGAAATGCCGGTTCCTGTGAGTGGACTTTTAATTGACAGATTGGATGCCAGAAACTTCTATCGGTGTGCGGCATGCTCTCCCCGGGTGGTTGCACGTGGAACGCAAACCACGTCGGTTGATGGAGACCTTCAGACTACTGGTGTGATGCATGATTATGCTTGGAATGCAGCAGCAGCAGATTGCATCTCACTGTATCTTCTATCGCGATCCCGATAGATCCAGTGTGGAGTAGCAACTTTAAACTGTCACTGTTACTTCCATTAGGAATTCTGCAATGTGCCCCACGACATCGTAGACAGGCATCTCTCGATGCCCACCAAGCATTTAGACTCACGATGTACTTTTCAGCTCAAGGTAGAACTTCTGCAGTTTAGAGACCCTTGCTTTCCGCATGTTCAGGAATTCCGTCCGCAACCACGTGTCTCTTGGCCGATTGCTTCGTTCTAAGCAAGGGGAATGTCTGTATCGAAGGCACAGCGCTCAATCCCGGCATTATCGTTTGACCCACTAGACGAGCTTATTTCAGTAGTTTGACAATACCGACTCTGCTGAAGGGGAATTAAAGCTGTACGAGTAGCCGATTTTCGAGATCAAATGCCTTCCTACCCCGACTCTCGCCTTCATCAGCACTGTGGGCATAGTGTTTTATCAGCAGAGTACCGTGGTATCGCTTAGCGAAATCTGTAAGGGGTGAATCATTGCTTCTTTTGCGTCCGCAAATACTATAATCTAAGTGTACAACATTAAGTCTAGCGCTTATATGGCCCAGAGAACAAATATGTTGGTGGAAAAGTGATGCCGGAGTGACTCGCGACCTGCCATGCTTTTAAATTGATAAGTCAAAATATTTATGCGAAAAATATGAAAGCTTCGTATACTAGGTATCGCAGATAGTTCATAAAGATCCAAGGGATGTCAAGTAAGACTTAGATGTAAATTTAGTTGCTTTCCCGTTCAGGTAGGCTAGAAACAGCTTGACTGTGTAAAAGCTTTACAACATGTAGCCATGTTGGGTTGTCTAGGCAGCCTTTTATGTAGCACGATGCCCAGATAGTTGGTTTCAGAATCACCAATTCTATAACGTTAGTCGCTCGATTGCCTGTTGTGAATGAGTCAGCAGCACAGCCCCATGCTGCGATAGCGTAGATGACGAAGCATCGTCGGAGAGGCATAAAGACAGGATGTGCGAGGACACACCTGTTAGTAAGTATACGCGCATTAAAGGAGTAGGTTACTCTTGTTTCAAGACTAGGTTGGCCACGAATACACGTAAGGAGGCATGGGGGGAGATTGCATAATTCCGCACGAGCCGAGCCACGACTGTTGTTGAACCTGAGTGGGACCGACACGTTGTTCTCTCACATCTCTGATGTCAATCGCGATATGATCGATAGAAGATTCTGGGCCATTCACTGCGAATTCTGTTATCTCGGGCAACTCCACGTCAGATCCCGATCAAGTAGGCACTGGGAGCACAACCAAGAATGATGCAAGGGATGATATAACTAACTAGGTGCGGCTCGTATTTGTCGAAGGCTCAAGAAGACCCTCACCAAAGCAAAGCCAAGTTGACCAACAAGGCTTGGGAGTCTTGTCTAGTGCTTCGTTGCGACCCAAGCAAGCCATGGGGATCTACGCGGCTCCTGGTCCATCATCTTATTTACATATACGAGAAAATTTCTGTGGTCTGACGGCATGCAGTGGCTCAGTTGTATCAGGATGTGGTAGAGGATGACTCTACTTGCGGGCCAGAGAGGAATGTGTTTCGTCTGGGAGATAGCGAGATCTGGTTTGTGGCGAGAAAAGCCTGATCGGCATGGTGATACTTGAAGCAACCGCCAGTGTGTAAAATGGCTTGTCAAGTTCTGCAGGCTACGCTGTTTGCTTAGCTCAGAATACGGCTCAGGGCGTTGATCCCGTCCAGGTTACGTCTGGCAAAGTTAGAGAATGGGTTTTAGCCCCCAGATGGAAGGCGGGTGGGTCGCCGGGAGAATCCTCCTGTAGCTCTGAACTGCTGGACACGGTGGAGGTATATCGAGGTATTGAGTGCTAAACAGAAGTAGAAGGTGGCAAGGTGCTGATCGTTCGATCTGACACGCTTCCCCCACTCAACATACTTGGATTCTGTCCCATCGCTGTTGCGGGTAGGGATCATCATGGCTCCACTTGGTTAGCAGGTGGAAAATAGCCACGGATTCTGGCATTCCTTCGTCGGAGATTGATATCCTCCGATGGCCTTGAATAGCTCCTGCTTAATCTATTATCGGCATTTGATTCCGGACAATGTCATCGTAGGCGCTAAGAATTGTCTGGAGTATTTTGAAGATGGCACTTAGATCAAGTGAATAGAAAGATGGCATCCGCCATCTCCATAAGAGATACTTGCTTAGGATGGCAACCGACTACAGTACCCATCACTGCGGTAGTAGGAGTACCGATCGAGATCGCCCAACCACATGTGGTCACAACGCCACGACCAGCCGATTAGATCATGGTCTGGTGGAGGAACTAACAGTTTCACCTTCCTCTAACCGGGCTGGTAGGGCGACCATTCAGGCCGATCTTGTCTGTGCTTGGCCTTCCCACGCGAGGAACGTTGTTCTTAGAAGGATGAATGCTAAACGAAGGTGGGACTGGACCACGCCAGAAAGTGTTGGTTGAAGGGGGGAAAAATGAGGGGAAGAAGGAAGGGGGTGGGGATTGCCAGCCGAGCATAACCGAATCATATTTGTTGCGAGGATAAGAACAAGTATATTGAGTTCGAATCTGACCACAACAGCAGGCAAAAAGGTTCAGAGTGTTTCAGCGGATGCGGGAGCAAGAAGCACCACGACCAGCAAAAGGCCGATTGACGCAGGATTGTGATGGGGGCCAGAATGAGTGCATATGCCCGGGTCGGCTTAGCATCCACCAGCCATGACCAGCGGGCTTGCTGACGTTCCAGTGCGGAGATCCCCAATCGTCACTTCGTATTCTCTGGTTACTAGCAGAAAAGGAATCAGAAGGATCTAGCCTGCCTGGAGGGAATGCGTCGAATGCTGCAGGATACTACTGTCCACAACCCCTGTCGTATCCTTGCGTCTAGCGGGTGACCGGATCCAGCCTATTATTAACAGAGAGATACTTCTTCCACCGTCATCGCATCATTCCGACATCGAAGATTCAAGATTCAACATCACCGTCTATCTACAAGGAGTTACAATTCAAAGAGTGAAGGAACGATAAATACAGTCAGACAAAGAGAGAAAGAGAGAGAGAGAAAGAAATACAGCGACAGCTCGATTTTCGTGATGGAACAACGCAGTTCCCCCGCCAGATCGCTGCCCCCGCGAAAAACCACCACGACTCCCCAGCTCAGTTGCGAACTCTGCCGCAAGCGCAAGGTCAAGTGCGACAAGCTCACCCCCTGTACCAACTGTGCAGCATCGGGGACGGTCTGTGTCCCCATCTATCGCACACGACTACCCCGAGGCCGACATGCCACTCGTCCGCGTCGAGTGTCATCGCCTCCGCCTACATCAGCTCCCGGGGAGACCGATCGGATAATCCAGCCATCTGTCCCAGTCAATGAGGATCTCCAGGAACGAATATACCGACTGGAAGCTCTCATCCAGGGGATGAACTCCCACTCCCATACCCGAACACCATCCGCCACCTCGCGCGAACAGGTGAGGCTGCACTCTGACCTTTTCAGCCTCGCGGAATGCTGACCCCGACAATGATCATTAGTCCGTCCAATTATCCGACACTTCCACATTCCAAACGGCTCCCAATCCTAATACTTCCCCCATCCTCAATAGTTCTATTGTTTCCAAGCGTCTCATGTTGCAACGACCCGATCAGTTCTGGGCCGACTTGGTGGATGAAGTAGGTCTGCCAACATGGACCAAGGAAGGAAAGAATGCTGACGCGGACACATGCAGATTCACGGACTCCGCGAAGTGGTCGAATCATCTCTGGCAGGAGGACAAGAGGGCCCGATCCCTTCCTCCGACTCGGCCAAGTCCGAGCCGCCCAATGATGACGGAATCCAGGTTCTTGGCCTGGGAGCTAGCAATCCTTCTGCAGCCCTACGGTCCATGAGTCCGTTGCATAATCCGGTGGTCGCCCGTCAGCTCTGTGAAGTGTATCTCCAACAGGTCGATCCAGTGATTAAGATCCTCCATCGTCCGTCGCTGAACCGATGGATGGTTCAAGGGGAACCGTATTTATCGTATGCAGATGGTCACCCCGCGGTAGAGGCACTGGGTTCCGCCGTCTGCTACTCGGCTATTAGCAGCATGACGGACAACCAGTGCTCCGTAATGTTTCATGCCAACAAGGCAGATTTATTGGCCGAGGCTCGTGTAGCCTGTGAGACGGCAATTGGACGTGCGGGTCTGCTTACCACCCGCGATATTACCGTTTTGCAAGCGTTTGTTTTGTATCTGGTATGACTCGACACTGGTCCCAAGAAGAAAGACGATAAACTGACTCCTTGTAGGTAGCTAGGAGATCTGAAGACCGCACTCCGGCCGTCTGGACTCTGATCGCACTGGCTGTGCGAATCGGTAAAGGCCTCGGTCTTTATCTGGATCCCGAGACGGAGACCTTTTTCGATCAGCAGATACGGAGGCGCCTCTGGTTTACCATTTGCCTGATGGATTTGCAAGCCTCCTTCGGCCAGGCATCTGAGCCGCTGATTAGTGTCGACGAGTCTGCATCCACAGCTCTTCCCCAGCACATCAATGATTCGGACTTTGATCCGACCACGGCCGCCCACAGCGATCCAAACAGGGAGGGTCTGACAGACACAACCTTTGCCTTGGTCACCTACCATGCTCAGCGGACGGGCCGTCTTCTCAACTTTGTTCAACACGATCGCAAGGTCGATGGGGGGATTCCAACTCCCACATCCTCTACTTCCGGTACTTCTACATCCCGCTCTCGTACATGCGACCCCAGTTGGCCGCAGCAGCAGGCCCGGCACTTCGAACAAGAAGCACTGCGGCTCCTCCATTTCTGTGACCCTGGCACCTCTGCGTACGCCTGGTTCACCTGGCACGGCACGCAGAGCCTAATCGCGACAGTCCGACTGGCAGCCGCGCGACCGCTCCAATGGCACGGTCAGGCGCCGCCGCCTCGCCGCGAGGGCAACACCGAGCTGCTGCGTCTCTGTCTCCCCGTGCTGGAGAAAGCGCAACTCATGCACACCGACCCCCGTGCCGAGGGCTTCCGTTGGTATGTAACAATTCCCTGGTACGCGCTGGCGATGGCCCTCGCAGAGTGCTATGTGAGCAGTGACACTGCCCTGGTGCGGTACGCCTGGCCGCTGGTCGAGTCGTCGTACCTGCAGTACGAGGCAACGCTGGGGCAATCTCTCGGCGGCCCATTCGGACAACTCATGCGGCGCATGAAAGAGAAGCTGGCGGCGCCGGCCGCCCTCCCACCAAGCAGTCTGCCGAGCACCAACTGGAGTCCAGCCACTCCCCCAACATTCCCGGGCGTGCCTCGGCCACAGAGTAGTCATGATGATCGACATGCACCCGGTTGCTCTTGGCCGGTGCCCACCGGATCCACCCCGCCTGCGGATCTGGGGGTGCCATCCCTCCTGCCAGTATCCACCTGGGAGGCGCTCTCGCCACCGTCGTTGGACAACCCTTCGCTCTTCGGGGTGCCTCCGACGACGACGGCGGTGGCGGACGGGATGGATCCGGGGGCGGATATAATGTGGGAGGAGTTGTTTTCGGGGATTCCGTTCAATGAGATAGCGGGGCCGGATACGTTCTTTTTCGATATGAACTGGGGGAGTTGATAGGGTGATTTTCCTTTTCTTCTAATGACGATGGTATGATTGTAATAGAAGCGCGAGAATCTGAATCTAGACACACTTGGCGATTCCTTTCGGACTGAATTGTTTCTGTTTAGTAGTCTTGAGCAGCGGGGTTAAAACCCGCAAAAGACGATTAAAAGCCGATGGCAATGCTTAACTACGTATGATTCTCCTAGTGACGACGACGATGATGATGCAGTAAGCAGACAATTGAATTCTGAAACAATACCAAAAGCTCTTCTAAGCCCACCCATACCAATCACACACTCCCCTCTCCTACCCATGTAGTCTATCTACCCATCCACCAAGCCCTCATCCTTCCCACCAACCTCCACACTCTCCATCACTAACCAACCCGCAAGCAACCAACTAGTAAACACACTAAACCCCCCTAAGCATCAAGAATCGGCCTCTTGGCCCTAAAAACAAAAACACTCCCGACCACCCACGTCTCCACCTCCCAAAAGTTCTCCCTGAGGGCCCTCTCAAACTCATACGCATTATCCTCCTCATTATGAAACACCCCATGATTCAAACACCCTCTTCGGATAATCCTCGCAAACCAATTATCCTTCCTCACCCCCTTGCCCAGCACATTCGCTCCATGAACCACCCCGTCCTCCGTCATGTACTTCTTGAGATGCGTGAAGATCTTGCATTTGCTGGCCACGGGCACGGGCAGGCAGTGCAGGAGGTAGTACATTGATACGGAGTCGAATTTTTTGTCATTGTTGGTGAGGTAGGTTTCTGGGAAGGGCGAGGGTTGCAGGATGTCGGTGACGATGCCGTGCGTTTGGGTGGATGGGTGCTTGCAGCGGGCGAGGGCGACGTTGAGCGCGTGGGTCTCGTTGTCGACGATTGTGAGCTGGGTTGTTGAGGGGATCCGGGCTTGGTTGAGGTAGTAGCCGGTGCCGGCGCCGATGTCGAGGTGCTTTTTGCCCACGTTGGAGCGGAATAAAGGGATTAGGTAGGTGCTGATCCGGCAGCCCCAGGCGAGGGTGCTCACGATGCCCAGGACCCAGATGTCGTAGATGAAGAGGCGCCAGGGGGTGTAGATTTGTTCTTGGGGTTCGTCTTTGGGGGTGGGTTTTGGTGGGGTGGAGGTGGTGGTTGTGGTTGTGGTTAAGGTGACGGAGGACATTTTGATTGACTGATTGATTTGACTTGTTGAAGTGATGAGTTACTATGTTTGTTGTTTTGAGTGATTGTGTTGCGATGCTGGTTAGGTTGTTCGTGGCGGAGGGTCATTTTATAGACCCTTCTCGGAGAATATAGTGTCTTCAGTGTCAGATCGGATAGGACCTCGGAGAATGTCAGTCACTACTACCATGCCACATGGACATGAAACAGATGCAGAAAAATGAATAAGGTTAGAATCCGACGCAAAACTAAACGGACATCTAATTTACCTTCCGACCGGCTTTTGACTGATATCATCATCGGATTCCTACCGTGGGGGCCAAATACAGCTAGTCAGACCATACACCAAGCGTAAACCAGTCCGTCCGGCAGAAATTGAGAACAATTGATAAAACGGAGAAAGTCATGAAGAATAGAACCGTCATAGATCAATACACTACCCATCTACTCTAAACATTGAGCCCATAATGACCCCTCCCATCCTCATCATCGGCGCCGGCCTCTCCGGCCTCACCGTCTCCCGCATCCTTACCAACGCCTCCATCCCCAACATCGTCTTTGAAGCCTCCACCCCTGACCGCAGCCAAGGCTACGCCATCAGCCTCCGCGATTGGGGCTACACCTCCCTCCTGACAGCCCTGGGTGACCTGCCCCTCCGCAGCCTCACCCGGGGCGTGGCTCCAGACCGCATCCTCGGCGGGACCGGCTGGATCGACCAAGCCCTCCGGGACAACCACACCGGCAACCTCCTAGTGGCTCCAGACCCCGAAGCCAAGCAATGCATTGTGCGGGCGAACCGCAATGCCCTCCGCACCTGGATCGCTGATAGCGGCGACGAGGAAGTGGACATCCGCTACGGCCACCGTCTGCGCAGCGTGCAGGGCTCAATGGGCAACGTGACGGCCACTTTCGAGAACGGTGCCAAGTACCAGGGCTCATTGGTCATCGCAGCAGATGGCGTGCATTCTAGCGTGCGGTCTCAGATCCTGCCCCACGTGAGCCCGGATATTGTGCCCGTGGTGGTGTATCATGGGGAATTGGAACTCCCTCGCAAGGAATTCGATAATCTTATCCGTCCGCACTCCGGACCGTCGAATATCCTAGCTGGTGTGGGCGATGGGTTCAATACCCCTATTACTGTTTGTAATATCACTCCTACACATGTGCATCTCGATTGGTCGTATTCGAGACCGAGTACGGAAAACAAGGAGAATAAGGATCCTCTCTATCGGCCGCATGTCTCTGCTGCTGAGGCTAAGCAGATTCCCCCGGCCTTGTTGGAGGAAATTGCCTCCCGGGATCTGGCGAGGCCGTGGTCCCAGCTGCTTAATGCCGAGGCGTTGCCGACTCATCGTGTCTTTAACTGGGTGAGTCGCTGTGTGTCGGTAACGAGGGAGGATGTGAATGCTGCGCAGAAGCAGGGCGTGGTGTTTATTGGGGACTCGTGGCATGCGATGCCAATTTTTGGGGGCGAAGGGGGTAATCATGCCCTGGTTGATGCGGTGGAGTTGGCGGAGGCATTGACGGGTAAGGAAGGGAATTTGGATGCTGCTGTAACGGGGTATTATGATCGCGCGTGGAGACGCTGTCAGGAGGCCGTGAGACGGTCTAGGCAGAGGTTCTTCCAGTTGCATCGGCCTATGAGGGAGTGGATGGAGATTGCGGAGAAGAAAAAGATGATGGCTGCTATGAAGGGGGTGGAGGCTCATTGATTGTGTAGCTGTACTGGGGTAGGAGTTATGTGATTACTTCGATTGATTTTATTTGGTTAGTGATTCGATATGGAGAACCTTTTCTGCAGTGAATAGTCAATTTGCTGCGTTTTGATCTCGATTTCAGATCTAGGTGCATGCCACATATTTATTCTCAGTTGAGTTGGCCATCCGGATTGAATCTGTGGAGACCTTATTGCACTATACTACCGCTTGAGTGCAGCGACGGAAGAGTTATCTATAAAGAGACCCTCAAAAAGCAACAATCATCAACCAAAGTAGAGCATTGACTTATGTATGCACTGAAGGACTGCTTTCAACACAACCGGTATAAAGGATGACAGCAAATAAACAGAGAAAGTTTTACAAAGTATCTACAGCCTCACTGCAGTTGCAGCTGGCGGCCCAACCGCAAACCAGCGTCTCTGACTCGGCTCGCCCTCAAACCCAACCTTCCGATCCTCCGCCAATTTCCACAAAACCTGACTCAAGAACGGCGTCAAAGCCTGTTCAATCTCATCTGGAATCCCTCCATACATAGAGTTTATAAGCTCCGGGAATGTCAGCGCACCCGCACGGCGCCCACCCCCAGTTGCCGTCATCCTCGCCCGACTCCTCTCCAAGGCGGCCAGCACCTGCCGCATCCTTGACTCCTTATGCTGGATATATTCCTTCATCTTGGCAGGAAGATCCTCGATACGCGTCCCATGAGCTGGATACCCAAGCGCGCAGTTGAGGTCCGCCATGCGTGTTAGACTGGTCATATATGTGCCCAGATCTTCCACGACAGAGTATCCATGTCCTAGCACGTTGTCCCCAGTGAAGAGGGCATTTTCTTCCTCCAGCAGGAAGCACATGTGATCAAAGGCGTGGCCGGGGGTGAAGACAGCACGGATAGTTGCGCCCTCTACGTGGAATTTCTGACCATCGTGGATGGCTTGTTGGCCGAGATCGGGGGTGTTTTTGTATACTCGTGAGGATAGTTCGGGGTTGTAGGTGATGAGGTCGGGGACCCCTCCGGTGTGATCTCCGTGCCAGTGAGTGAGCAAGACATGGGAAATTTCTAGACCATTGGCTTCAAGTTGTTTCGTGAGGGCTTCGATCCAGCTTGCTTCACCCTGTTGGATGTCAGACTAGAAGTTCATAGTAGGAAGGTAAAGGTGGACTACCTGGCCGGTGTCAATGAGAATTCGGAATTTGCCCGTCCCCACGAGGTACGTGTTGGTCCCTTGCAGCTGCATGCGCCCGGGATTACCTCCGAGAATGCGCATTACTGTCTCGGTGACTTGCTCGACTTCGGGAAGACGAGGCAGGTTGGCTTCCTGGCCGGACAGGTATTCTTGCCAGAAAGATTGAGCGAAGGGGATACGGAAGGCCATGTTGAGATACCAGCTCGTAGCGACCATTCACTCATTAACTTAATTCTGGCTGCGGTTGAACTGGGTCCAGTTTATTGTTCTATACTATCTTCCATGCTTCTATTATGCTTCTGCAACCGGAGTTTAATCGGACACACGTGGAGGCCATGCCATCCGAGCAAATCTGACATCAGCCCCATTTTGTCCGTCCGATCCTGCCACTTTCTTCATCAACCAATCCCACGAAGCCTACCGCTTATTCTAGAGTATCTGAAACAAAGTTTAAAATTCGACTTGAGTCTGCCGAGGTATTCTGCAATATTCAGATTCAAAACCCGAGCGAAGTCACTACGCCGTCCGAATATGGCCCCATCCGACATCGCGATGATGATGATGATGATGATGCTGATGCTGAATCAACTCAACTTCATCGTCCGAGACGGACATGGAGAATATCTACAAAATTCTGACGCTATTCAGAGTCTCTTTGCTGAGACGACAAAGAGTATATAGAGGGCATCGAATCTCGCCGTTGCTGGGAATTCTCATCTCCATCCAACACAGCACAGCACAGCACAGCAAAGCAATTACCTCTCTCTACAAAACAACAAGCCCTTTTACTTCAAGCAAACCAACCAATAAATCAGTTAATTAATCACTATGTCTGGCCCTACGAAGCTGGTCTTTTTCGGAAACGAATTCCCCAACGATGATCTCAAAGCTCTCTTCCGCGGTCTGCACCGACACGGCAAGGACCGGCGCTTCCGCCAGCTGGCAACCTTCTTGGAGGAGTCCACTCGCGTGCTTCAGAATGAAGTCGCCCAACTTCCCGAGCCGCTGAAAAAGCTGGTGCCTCACTTTGAAAACCTGATGCCCCTAACCGAGGTCGATTTCCGTCAGGGCCCTCTGGGAGCTGCTATGGAAAGCGCCCTCCTGACAATTCTCGAACTGGGAATGTTCATCGGCCACTACGAAGCCGAGGAGCGTGTCTGGGACCTCTCCGCGGACCGGACCACCTTGGCTGGTCTCAGTATTGGCCTGCTCGCTGCTGCTGGTGTCGCTCTGTCTACTCACTTGGCTGAGGTGGTCCAGAACGGCGCTGAGTGTGTGCGGGTCTCCTTCCGCTTGGGAGTCTACGTCCACGACATCTCCCGCAAGCTCGAAGCTCCCCAGGCAGACGGCAGCTTGCTCAGCTGGGCTCATGTTGTCACCGGTGAGACAGCATCCGATCTGCAGGAGGAACTGTCGCGATACAATACGGAGACGGGCACTCCCGAGCTGCTCAAGGTCTTCATCAGTGCCGCCGATAAGACCTCTGTGAGTGTCAGTGGCCCTCCCTCGCGCATCCGTGCGGCCTTCCGGGCCTCTCAGCGCCTGCGCTACTCCAAGTCTCTCGCCCTGCCCGTGTATGACGGCCTCTGCCATGCCGCCCATCTCTACGACGAGGAGACCATCCACCGTGTTCTTCATCCGGATGGATCTGTCATCCCTACTTCTCGACCGGTGCAACTGGCACTCCTCTCATCGCGCTCTGGCCAGCCCTTCGAGGCCACCACGGCCGCTGAGCTGTTCCGCGCCATCAGCACAGAACTGCTGACTGGCACCATCTTCTTGGACAATATTACGGCCGGTATCCTCGACCGCACTGAACGCTGTGCCGACGCCCCACAGTGCCAGATCGAGACCTACCGCACTTCGCTGGTGTTCAAGGGTCTGCTGAAAGCCCTGGAGGCTTGCTTCCCCGATCGGACCATCAGCACTACCGATCTCATCCCCTGGGTGTTCCAGGACTACGGTGCGCGCCAGCCCAAGTCATACGCAGACTCGAAGCTGGCCATCGTCGGCATGGCCTGCCGCATGCCCGGAGGTGCCAATGATCTCGACCTCTTCTGGGAGCTGCTCGCACAGGGTCGCGACACACATACGACGGTGCCTGCGGATCGCTTCGACCTCGAAACACACTATGATCCGACCGGTGAGACAGAGAACGCCACACGCACGCCCTTTGGCAACTTCATTGACCAGCCGGGACTTTTCGATGCCGGATTCTTCAACATGTCTCCTCGCGAGGCCGAGCAGACCGATCCCATGCACCGCCTCGCCCTTGTCACAGCATACGAAGCCCTAGAAATGGCGGGTATCGTCTCTGGCCGCACGCCATCATCCAACCCTAAGCGCATTGCCACCTTCTACGGACAGGCCAGTGACGACTGGCGCGAGCTCAATGCCTCCCAGAATATCGGCACCTACGCCGTCCCTGGTGGCGAACGTGCCTTTGCCAACGGTCGCATTAACTACTTCTTCAAGTTTGGTGGCCCATCTTTCAACTTGGACACGGCTTGCTCCAGCGGTTTGGCTGCCGTCCAGGCGGCTTGCTCTGCTCTGTGGGCTGGTGAAGCCGACACTGTCCTGGCCGGTGGACTGAACATTATCACCGACCCCGACAACTACGCCGGTCTGGGCAACGGCCACTTCCTGTCGCGCACCGGCCAGTGCAAGGTTTGGGACCAGTCTGCTGACGGTTACTGCCGTGCAGATGGTGTGGGATCTGTGGTCATCAAACGCCTTGAGGACGCGGAGGCTGACAATGACAACATCCTGGCTGTCGTGCTCTCTGCTGCCACCAACCACTCGGCGGAGGCCATCTCTATCACTCACCCCCATGCCGGCGCTCAGAAGGAGAACTACACCCAGGTGCTGCATCAAGCTGCCGTCAACCCACTGGACATAAGCTATGTCGAGCTGCACGGCACCGGCACCCAGGCCGGAGATGCCCAGGAGGCTGAGTCGGTCTTGGACATCTTTGCCCCACGAGCCCATCGTCGTCGCGCCGATCAGCCCCTGCACTTGGGCGCGGTGAAAAGTAACATTGGTCATGGTGAGGCAGCTGCTGGTATTGCCTCCCTGCTCAAGGTGCTGCTCATGTACCAGAAGAACGAGATTCCTGCGCACATCGGCATTCCCACTGTCATCAACCCGGCTATCCCCACCGATCTTGAGCAGCGCCAGGTTTATTTGCCACGCACAAAGACTGCCTGGCCTCGGGCTGCAGGCCAGATCCGCCGCGCCATCGTGAACTCGTTTGGCGCGCACGGTGGTAATACTACCCTGGTGCTGGAAGATGCCCCTGAGAAGCAGGTGACGGTGGCCCGTGAGGAGCGCTCGACGCACCCTGTCGTCATCTCTGCCAAATCGAAGAAGTCCCTGGCCGCCAACGTGGAGACTCTCCTTGCCTACCTCGACGAGAACCCAGAGACTGACCTCGGCGACCTGTCCTATACGACTTGTGCCCGCCGCATGCACCACAGCTGGCGTCTGGCCACTGCCGTCAGCGACATTCCCGCCCTGCAGAAGTTCCTGCGCAACGCTGTGAGCAACGATGCCGTCTCCCAGACCCGGCCCATCCCCACCGAGGCTCCCCATGTCGTGTTCACTTTCACCGGCCAGGGCGCCTACTACGCCGGGCTGGCACAGGGTCTCTTCCAGGCTCTGCCTTTCTTCCGCGCCGAGGTGCGCCAGCTGGACCACCTGTCCCAGCGCCTGGGATTCCCCTCAATCGTGCCGGTCATCCTTGGCGAGGTGGAAGAGGGAACTGCTACGGCCCTGGTCACGCAGCTTAGCATTGTGATCGTGGAGATTGCCCTGGCCAGGCTCTGGCTACTCCTCCTAGGCATTCCGGCTCCTCACGCCGTGATCGGCCACAGTCTCGGCGAATACGCCGCATTGGCTGTCGCTGGAGTGCTGTCCACGGCAGACGCTCTCTACCTGGTCGGCCACCGGGCTCAGCTCATCGAGGAACACTGCACCCCCGGCAGTCACGCCATGCTCTCGGTGCGCGCAACCATCGCTGACATCGAGCGTCTGGTGGGCACCGGCGCTGATGCACCAACTTACGAGCTGTCCTGCCAAAACACGCACCAGGACACCGTCATCGGCGGCTCAATCCAGGACCTCAATGCCATCCGGGAGAAGCTCGAGCCTGAAGGAATCAAGTGTGTCAACGTCGATGTCCCCTTTGCCTTCCACACCGCGCAGATGGACGCCGTCCGGGAACGCCTCGCCAAGGCCGTCGCCGCCGTGCCCTTCAAGACCCCCAGCGTCCCTGTTCTCTCGCCTCTGCTGGGCAGCGTCGTCTTCGACGGCAAGTCTATTAACCCAGAGTACATCGTGCGGGCAACTCGCGAGCCCGTCCGGTTTGCGACTGCCATCGACGCCGCCCAGGAACTCGGCATCGTCAACAGCCAGACCCTCTGGGTTGACATCGGCCCCCACCCCATCTGCGCCAGTTTCGTGCGCAGTCTGGTGCCTGGCGCACGCATCGTCTCGTCCTGCCGCCGTAACGAGGACAACTTTGCAACCATGGCCAAGAGCCTCTGTACACTGCACCTGGCCGGCCGCACCCCCTCCTGGGCCGAGTACTTCCGTCCCGACGAGCAGGCTTACTCTCTCCTCCGGCTGCCCAAGTACCGCTGGAACGAGGTCAACTACTGGATCCAGTACCTGGGCACCTGGACCCTGGACAAGGCGCACCTCAAGAACGGCGGCAGCCAGAAGCGCACCATCACCGATGTACCATCTGTCTCATCCCTGCGCACCTCCCTCATCCACCAGGTCACGGAGGAGACCGTCGACAAGACCACCGCCACCCTCAAGGCCATCTCCGACATCCAGCACCCCGACTTCCTCGAAGCTGTGCACGGCCACACCATGAACAACTGCGGCGTCGCCACCTCCTCCATCTGGACCGACATGGCCATGACCGTCGGAGAGCACCTCTACCGTCGCCTGGTCCCTGGCACTGACCACGTCCTCATGGACCTCTGCGACTTTGAAGTCCAACACGCTCAAGTCGCCAACACCAACTCAAACACCCCGCAACCCCTCGCCCTCGAAGCCCACCTCGACCTCCCCACCCGCCACATGTCCCTCGCCTGGTACGACGTCAATGCCACGACCAACCAGCGCGCCGATGCCCCCTTCGCCACCGGCAGCATCAAGTACCCTGCCGATCCAACCGGCGCAGCCTGGTCTATCGAATGGTCCCGCATCACGCACCTCATTCAGGGCCGCATCGAAGCCCTGCAGCACCTGGCCGCGGAGAACAAAGCCAGCACACTGTCCAAACCCCTCGCCTACGCTCTCTTCAAGAACGTCGTCGACTACGCCCCCCGCTACCGCGGCATGGACCGCGTTGTCATTCACGACCACGAGGCTTTCTCCGATATCACCCTTACCACCGACCGCCACGGAACCTGGCACACCCCGCCCCACTGGATCGACAGTGTCTCGCACCTGGCCGGCCTGGTCATGAACGGCAGCGATGCTTCTAACACCAGGGACTTCTTCTACGTCACCCCTGGCTGCGGCAGCTGCCGCATGACTGAGCCTTTGATTGCTGGAGGCAAGTACCGGAACTATGTCCGCATGTTCCCCATGCCGGATGAGGCCCACATGTACGCAGGCGACTTGTACATCCTCCGGGAAGACAAAATCATTGGTGTCGTCGAACAGCTTAAGTTCCGCAGAGTGCCCCGCTTGTTGATGGATCGCTTCTTCTCGCCGAATAAGAATGCCGCTGCGCATGCTGCTCCTGCTCCTGCTCCTGCTGCGGTTCCAGCCGTGAAGAAGCAACCTCCCACTGAAACCATCCAGCCCCAGGCCCCCAAGACAGAGCAGAAGCAAGACCAGCTACAACTTCCCAATCTCGCCTCCGCTGCACCCTCCACCGCCAACAGCTCATCCTCTCCCTCCTCCAGCGGCGTCGCTACCCCCACTACTGAGCAAGAAGCCCCCGTCGCTGATGCCTCAGCGGTGACCGGCGTGGCCGGCAAATGTCTGGAACTGATTGCCAACGAGACAGGCCTGGGTGTGGCGGAATTGACTGCGGACGCGACATTCGTGCAGCTGGGTGTGGATTCGCTGATGTCGCTGGTGCTCTCGGAGAAGTTGAGAAGTGAGATGGGATTGGAGATTAAGAGTTCGTTGTTCTTGGAGTGTCCTACTGTGGGAGATTTGACAGGGTGGTTGGAGCAGTATTGCTGAAGGTTTGCTTTTGTTGGTTCTAGCTTTTTGCTTCTTGTATTTTTGGATATTGTACCTAGAGGAGTAGAGAGGTAATTGCATTGCTGTGATCTATCATTACCTATTATTGTTGAGCAAAAATTGTAGAAGGTTGTGGAGAATGGATGGTAGAATTGAGGAAGATTGGATCGGGGGTTAGGCATTCATAGTACTACAAAGGAATCAATAGAGCACGAGATGAGGAAAGGAAACCTGGCATTAATTCATAAGGAGAGGGAACTATCAAGCAGGAGCTTTTGGCGTGAATGGACAGTTCTGAGGTTCTTGATATACTTGGATGTGAGATTGGCATATTGTCCGTAGTGTAGGACTGGAGGACTGGGTATTATATCTATTTTTAATATTAATAGGGGCTCTTCTAGCATATCCAGAGAGTAATCTGTAATATTCCTCTCCCTTACTCAAATTTCACATTATGATTACACTCGTTGGTCATACTAGTACAGGTCCAAGCGACAGTAATCTCACAGCAACTATATCATCTAGTATGATCGACATACCACAGACTTTTCATCCAAACA